TGATGAAGGTATGGCATCGCTGAATCCTGCGGAATCTGTGTCCACTTCGATCTTCCTAGATACTACGAGACGATAGTGACAACGTGGATTATTTTTTTCCAAAGCATCAACTAAATACCATTTCTTATTCTTGCCTATTTTTCCAGTGTCTTGGACAACCTGCCACGAAGTCAGGCTGCCATCGTCACACCTCTGTAGTTGCACTCGCACACTTCTATTCCTGAATAGCTCTTCAAACTGGAATGACACTTTAACGTTGCTGGTCCCAGGGATGGCCTCTACTTTAACGATTTCAGGGGTAATGGTTCCTGAGAAGATAAACGGATAAATAGATTGGGGAGACCGGAGCTAGTTGGCCCAGTTAGACTCTTTTGGCCTTGTAGAGCCAACTAGGAATGGGTTAGAGTAACAAAACCGGTTTCAAAGTAAGCCCCATGAACTAAGCTACGTATACAACGTCATTATTTTTCAAACATAATGCCAGATGGCTCACAATTTGACAAAAAACACAGTTAACGTCAAGGGGGCCAACTTGCCCCGCCACGGGGCAAGTTGGCCCCAGGGTCGGGGCAAGTTGGCCCCCCTATACGAAAATGAAGTATATACCTCATGTAAACGCCTTGAAATACATTTTTATACATTTTTAATTTATTGAATTGATTTTTGATAGTCTTTGGAGAATAAATAGTTCAAATGAGGCAGAAGTTTCCGTACGTTACGTTGTGTGTGTGTGTGTGTGGGGGGGGGGGGGGTATGTGGTGCAAGAACCAAAATATCTATCAATAAATTTTATTTTGTTTTATTTAAGAATAAATTAATAATGGTATAAGGCAGGTTTTTAACGAATGAAAACGAATAATAAATTTTCGTTTTAAAAGAAAATAACAAATTCAGTTTTAAACCACTGAGTTTATTTCAACAATGGTCTCTAGCTGGGGGAGGGGTGGAAAATCGCCTTGGGGCCACATATAACACTATAAATACAAAGGGAATCCCCTTACAATGAATTAAGGCAAAATAAATGTTTTTCTAAGGAGAGTCCAATGGATTTGCTTTTTAATGCATACAATCAACAAAACATTTCTAATATAAATTTTAGAAAAGAAACCAGAGAGCAAATTAAATAAAATCAATGTGGTGTTCTTGATGTTTGCAGGTATGTTCTTTGCAGGTATTGTGTGTGTGTGTGTGTGTGTGTGTGTGTGCGTGTTGGGGGGGGGGGCAGAGACGGAGGTGAGAAGTAGACTAGCTACATCTAAATATCTAAATGTGACTATCCTGACATTGACTTGTGACTTTGTCCCCTGCATCCTGCACACAAACGACGTTTGTCCTTAAACGCATCTGCAGAGACAATTTTCATACTACAAATATGCGCATACATCTACTTCTATCCCCCTTCCCCCAATCCCATGTACTGTTCTTGAAATTGTCATACACTTATATAGCCCGAAATAACAATGTTATGTAAGTCTTAATCCGTACCTCGCCTGCATTTCCATTCTCTGGACACTAATTTTACAATCTCCGGAGCTGCTGTAATGACAAATCTACATATCACGGCGGCAATTTCCATTTTTTTTCTTCCGAGGCCTAAAAGAGAAAAGATTTAATAGTAAAATGACACTTCCCTAGACATCCATACTCTTCCAATTGTAGATCAGGCACACACTTGGGACTTTCCCTGACTCATTACCACAAAAAAGAACTGAAAAAGATGTTTTGATTTGACTTTTATAACTTATACTAGTTCTGCTAACTAAAATTATTTTGAAATTACTTTTTTCCACACAGAATTTATTCAACACCACACATTTGCTGCCTTGGGTTTCTTGCTAAATTGCTTTCAGCTAAAGCGGCTTAGATGTCTGGCATGCCTACTGAAGCTGCTAAACGCTAATTTAAGGCCGGTGATAGGGTTAAATACGCTTAGAATCATGTTTTTGAGTTTTTTGTGTGTTTATATTAATCAAAAAAGTATCTAACGTTGGATGTTATAATTTTTATGAATTTGCATCGCAAAATGCGTCTTTTGATGACTTTTTCAACCGGCACGCGCCCCAGTCAGGCTGACAACTAAGCCACGCCTCTGTTACTAAGGACCGTTGCCATGAGGGGGTCGGAGCACAGTTAATGAGTTATAAGCCGATTACGTGTGCGGTAATAGGTCATAAATCTTACATCAGCTTTGCAGAGAAGAAGTCTAGCTAGTACACTATGGGGAAGAGAAAAGTTCGTGTTAAGGGACGGATGTACCCAAATATAGCTAAAAATCGTCATTTTTGGTTTTTTATGTCTAATTATTGGTTAAATGTGTATTTAACGTTTAACAGAATAAAATTTTTACACTTTGAACAAAAAATATGTTTTTTCTGAGGATTCTGATGCTGCACACATCGGCACCGGTGGCCTGGTCTATGCCCCGCCTTCGTTGTCAAGGGCCGTTGGCATGGTTAAACTCGGTGGGCGGACCTCAGCAGCATCAGCCCGACTCGAGAAACAATAGAACAGGGATGCGGCATACCCCCTTTGTCATAAACAGCGATCGGCAAAGCAGTGCCTATTGTTCCGCTTAAGCTGTTTTGATAGTCGCTCTTGATTGTGATCAGCGCTAAGATGAATCTTTTCCGACACATTGGATTTGCTCGAAATACGCGTTCTCCTTGAATTGCCTGTTGTTACACGCGCTCTTTCGATTTTCTTGTTAACTTTTTGAGATACGCAAAAAAAAAAATGAAAATTCCGTTGCTTGCTACCCGTGACAGCAACCGTATGCACTGTGTGTACAAATTTTTTTGCCAAAAATGATATTATTTTGTATAAATTTAGTGTATTTTTCACGGAATATAAAAGAAAATCCTCTGCTTATTAAAGTCACCTGTATGTACAAATCCCCCCCCCCCACCCCCCCCCGGCTTGCAAACTGAGGTATACAATGTCTGTAACCTTAACAAGTTTTATCTTAATCGTCCATCTAACTGGAACTTCCTTTACCTCTTAATTGGAGGGTTCAGTGGCCCTCAACTCTTATATACCTTCTTTCTTCAGAATATCGAACGCATTCTTGCTGGCGATATTTATCTCAGGTAAAAATCTGCCTGAGTGTTATTTTCAAAGAGCAGCTCCCGCAACCCTAGGGGCACTAGATAAAATCTGGACGCCAGGTTTAAGAAGGAGCTAGAGAAACAAAGGAAGAATTTTTCCTGCAAAGCTTCAAAGAGTTGTGACACGGACTTGACCCAGCTAACCCCTCCAAACTAACAGGGTGACATGGGGAATTTTTACAAACAAATAATTAAACTTAGATGTATCAGAGCTCTGTCGTGTCGTACAATTGGTTGTTTTTGGGAGCCATGCATCCACATGTAAGGTGAATGAAATCGTATGTTAGTTCAACTCAGAGGCGGATACAGGATTATTCGAAGGGGGGTTCCACGTATGTGAAGCTAGCCTCCTTTTAAATAAATACACCGTTCTGGGTAATAAGAATATTGAAACTTTTTTAATTGCGAGAATATTTCTGACTAAATGATGTTTTTATTATTAATGGAAATTAAGCTGCGATGTGTGGTACATATGCTGTGATTACGCTGTCCTTCATCTCTTGCATTAGTCTACATTTTGCTGGGGATTCCGTGTTTTCGAACCATTTTTCGCTTGGCGAATGTGGACAAGACCGCCTGCGATGCTGCTATTGTGTGCACATCCTAGAGCGCATCCCTAACCCTTTCCCCGACGGCAATTGACGTGGCCACTGATTGCTTGAGTCATTAGGGCTTACATGATTGCCTGTCAATCATTCTGGGAGTGCTAGCGGTAACCCCTTGAAGTTACTAACAGGAGGTGAGATTGATACAAAAAGAAGATTTTCTGACATCCAAATGCATGCAAACAAGCTAATTTCAACCGGCAATAGAGTACCCATCTTCGCGATCGTCAGAACGAGAACAGGTAAAGCTGTCAACAATTTAATTTGCTAATTTGGACAACTAACATCCCTGAAAGGGTTTTTGCTCGTTTTCTTTGCTTTCAATATTGACGAGATAGCGTTATCTTAGCAAGCTATAACTGTCTACCTGTACACCTGAGGGAAACCAAATTCACCATGCTAATTATGAAAAGTATGCACTAAAAGTGCTTTTTAAGAAATTTTGATTGATCCTCTCTTTTCTAATTTATAGACTTTGAAAGTGAAAATTCCCTAATATTTTGATGTAATTTCACGTTTTTATAGATAAAATCAACATTAAGTGTCTGAAGAAAAATCCCTGACTCCATGCTGTAGTACTTTGTTCAAGTGTTATAATGCCATCAAAAGCAAGTTTATAGCTGTCCAGGTGCCTGAGAATATCAGGTGTATAAAAATGGTGTTTTTGTCCCCAAAATCCCAATATTACGTCACACGATGAAGTTGAAGCTGTGTTCCAAGCATAATTAGATATTTTGAAGATACATTAAATGAATGTGACAGGAATAAAAAAGTCAAGACCTTTATTTTAAGAGAAAATCTCAAACCTACATTCCCACCNATTTGCTTTGAAAGTGAAAATTCCCTAATATTTTGATGTAATTTCACGTTTTTATAGATAAAATCAACAATAAGTGTCTGAAGAAAAATCCCTGACTCCATGCTGTAGTACTTTGTTCAAGTGTCATAATGACATCAAAAGCAAGTTTATAGCTGTCCAGGTGCCTGAGAAAATCAGGTGTATAAAAATGGTGTTTTTGTCCCCAAAATCCCAATATTACGTCACACGATGAAGTTAAAGCTGTGTTCCAAGCATAATTAGATATTTTGAAGATCCGTTAAATGAATGTGACAGGAATAAAAAAGCCAAGACCTTTATTTTAAGAGAAAATCTCAAACCTACATTCCCTCCTTAAGCGGTGACTCAACAGCAAAAGATGATTCATCTCAATGCAGTATGACGTTATAGCTATACGGAATCAGGTATGGAGAATTACACGACTTAAGGACTACAGACACACATAAAAGATATTATTTAAAGTTACATGTACCATTAAAGAGATTATGTATAATTACTTGTCTCTCACATCACGGGACAATGTTCCAGAAAGGTAAAACAGATCAATGGTGACTCCAGAACCCTGTATGATAATGCCCTTGTGTGATTCACGGTACGAAGAATATTCCTGTTGGTTTTTTCCTAAATTAATAATACTTCATTTTTATTTTTGTTGGGGTTGGGGGGGATGCATTTCACTTTTTGTCCGAGTTTATTAGGGTCTTAAACACCAGGCCCAGCCAAAACTGCCGCTGCCGACATCTTAAATCTTTCTCCACTTTATTCCCATTGGTCTCCCACTCCAGATATGACCTGTCTTTCACGCTGTACGGAGGCCACATGCCTGTCTTGGTAGGGGTTCTGAAGGGAAAGACTGCTAATTTAGTCCTGTACACAGTTGGTGGTTTGTTCAGTTATGCTTTATTTCCAACAACTAACATAGATGGCACCCATTTATCACTCCCAGTGTGTGTGTGTGTGTGTGTGTGTGTGTGTGTGTGTGTGTTTATGTATTAGTGCGTGTGTACGCGCGCTCAAAGAATGGTTAAATGTTTACCTTTAAACAATATGAAGAACCAAACCCCTGTAGTGTCCATAAAGGGCGCAGTGTGGGAGTAACAAACAATTTACCACCATGTAAATATGAAGCCGAACATTAACGAGGAAGTACAATGTACCTGTTGGTTCAGGAGAATTAATCTTCGCAAGAAAAAAAAAATGATCAGAAAAACTTCAAGACGGAAAAAAACAATACGTACCCTTCCCGTGCAAAAGTTGTCCATGCATCCATTATTTGTTTGCTTAGTGTCTTTTCAGCTTCACTCGGCTTAATGTCCCCAAACAACGCTGTATCCATGACATCGCCAAAAACAAAGTACAACTCGTCCATGTGAGTCGCTCCCGAAAAAATTGGCCAATGGGAAAATGACGGTCTGTGGTTGAAATAATAGAAATACGTGTTCGTAACTCCTGAGGCGACGTCGGTGTAGTTGCTATGGCTACTAAGTGAAAAGTAATCGTTTAGTATATCGATATACGCGCGACGTAAATTCGCTGAGGTGTGTTGTAATCCACCTAAATATTCAAATAAAATTACTTCATGAATGTGGTTTACGTTGACAGGAAACTGTGTTTTGACATACTCCTCTATGGTCGGGAGATCTACCATCCTATTAAGTTGGCCAATGAGGCCAAGAAAAAGGGTACTCTCATCTTTAACGATTCCGAGCATGATCGGCAAACCACTCAAATGTTCCGGATTAAAGTCTTCTTTTTTCAGAAAGTACCCGTCCACGCGCGGTGTCACTATGGGGCCAAAATGTTGTTCTTTGTACTCGTGATACGCACGTTGAAGCTCAGCGACAGATTTACGTTTCATGCACTCGAGAAGACGGCGTTTGCTATCAGCACATAACATCCGGGCAATCTCTATACTATGGTGTACCACCGAATCCGAGGACAATGGGAGATTTGGCGCGGCATTCAAATCCAGCTGATAAAGCCCGCTTTGCAAAATAGCCCTATTAAATAATCCCCTGGACAGTGAACTTAGAGCTAGAAGAGATATCGACGCTCCACCCGCTGAATTTCCAAAGAGCGTCACCGAAGAGGGATCACCTCCAAAAGTTTCGATATTTTCTCTGACCCACTCCAGTGCCGCCACCTGGTCAAGAAGAGCCATGTTTCCCGGACTCTCAGCGACGCCTGTCGTGAAAAATCCGAACAGCCCAAGACGATAGTTTAAAGTTACAACGATTACGTTACCATGAGAAGCTAACATGGAACCGTCAAAATTCATCCCTGTACCCCATTCATACGCACCGCCATGGACGTAAACCATGACCGGAAGGGATTGGGTTATTTCTGTCACGTGACCTGGAATAAAAATATTGAGGCTAAGACAGTCTTCACTTGTTCTGTTGTGTGGAAAGCGCTGCTTAATGTACTCTTTCGTGTAGACCACATCAAACATGGGGCTCAAGTCCTGCACGCACATTGGTCCGAATTCCGTTGCATCCAGTACACCGGCCCAGCAATCTACTTTCTGAGGAGGTTCAAATCGTAGCGTCTCTAGTGGGGGATTTGCAAACGGAACACCCAAGAACTGAGTGACGTCACTGCCATCGTTTGTTGTAACTGTCTGTCCCCGTAGTTGACCTAGCTTTGTGTTTATCACAACTTCTACTGTGTTAATAGTGCTATGACTGATGGCACAGGTCACTGATAACAGTAAAGGCATCAGGAAAACGTGCAAATAGCTAAGGAAAACCATTCTACCACTAATGTTCGATCGACTCCGGTATGGTGAAGCTGGTGTCATGGAATGTGGCTGCCTGTCCTAGAAAAGAGACACCTGTGCATTTTTGTGACGTAACAGACGGTCCTAATAAGACTTCAAATCACTTTCTGCCATACCTCGGTAGCTACCTCATGGAGAGAGGCTAGAACATGCTTTTTATGATGCGAACTTCACAACGCATGGTTATAAAGTGTTTATGCGAGCTATCTGTCCTCCGTTCGAGGCTCGTGTGTCCTCTCCTCGCACCGAGTGTCCTTATTTAGCTCTGCTCTACGTCGCCAGATCCGCTCTCCGTATTCACAGGTCGAAGCTCCTTGTGTAACTGTGTGGGTATATACAGTAGTCGTAGAAAGGTGTGTAGGTGAGTCCGCACCCTCTCGCGTCGTGGCTCGAACTGCTCTCAGTCTAATAATTTACTGCACTCCCGCCAGGTGGTGTAGGCTCATCTCCGTAGTTCGGGAAGTGCTTCCGGCACAATCACAACACTCCTCCCCTCTTTATTTGAAAGAGACGAGTTTACTTCCAAGTATTTCCTGATAGAATCATACAAGCAGTTCCTTAGTAATTCCAGCGGTGCTCACCTGAAATTCTTGAAATATATACAAGTTAAAAAGATATTTACACAAAGATACATGTACAGATTTACAAGGGAGTCCCCAAAAACAAAACAAATGACTCCAGTATGAACAAAATTACTATACATATTTACAAAGGGTGAGTCTACAAAAACAAAAACGACTCCAGCATAGACAAAAATACGTATTTACACAGGAATCTACAAAAACAAAACAAAAGATTCCTGTAATGCAGAGAAGACAATTGACAAATTCTGAGAATGACATCTCATGGCCTCAGCCATTCCAGCATGACAATATCATAACTGTCACACAGGCATCACTCTTGATTCATCACTGTGACTCTGGGAATATTTACAATCCAAGTGAATGATCATTAGAGGATAAAGTCAAAGACAGTAAAGGACCAATATCTGTCATATGACAATTATCTGCATGACATACGCGTCACACACTCTTGATCTATCACTAAAGATTGAAGCTCAGTAACGATATAATATCTGTTACGTATGAGCTAAGTGTAGTAATGTAAAATCTCCTACACTGTTCTTTAGAGTGCAACAATATAAATCTGTTACACTATACGGTAACCACAGTACAGATGTTGCCCATATAGGTTAAGATCACTGGTTAGATAACCGTTTAGTCTCTTTCTCTGGCTACAACCAAACCATGCAACTAGACATAACCCCAGTGGCTGCAGCATGTCCTTACAGTACCATCATCCAAGTTCACTTCACACATAAAGAGACAACCAGTATCCCTACCCCTTAAAATAAAAAGTAAGGCAAATGTACATATATAGCTACCAGACAGAGATAACAGTCAACTAATCAAAATCCATTCAATCTCCAGGGTTTAAATTGTAATTAACAGAAATGAAACACCTTTCAGAGATATAGACTTTCATGAAACAACCTTCTGAAATTAGGGTTACCTGCTACCGCATGAGCAATTAGACCACTTTAGATGCAACTGTCATTCATTCACCTTAAGACATCCTTAGTCCATCTAAACTCCAGTCCCTCAATGCTATAATCCAGCAGTAACATACATATATCCCCTTTTTACAGACCATTCAGTAACATTCCAGATAGACACTTGCACGTTATAAACATGGTAATAAGGATTCCGGATTCCAATATATACCATACAGCTTGAATCACAAGTTTTCAAATACAAACCAAAACGTTCACGTCACTCATAATTGTTATCGCTGCACTTGCCAAAAGTTCAGTCCTATCACTGGAATTTCATTACACAACATATAAACCAAGATCAAGAACTATTCTAAAGGCAAGATTTTTTAAATGAAGACCCAGAATGATACTTGTTACAGTGGTCTTTATAACAGTCAACAAGACAATGATTATGAACAAAGTCCATATTGCAAATTTCCAGCAAGAGTAACTTCATAGATATGACTTTCGTTTCCAAGGCTACCAAACTCCAATTAACAGCAATGCCTTGTTTAGTGACTTTACCATTCAACTTTATTTGCAGAAAAATATCAACATGAATACCTTTTCTTCACCACAGTGACTGTAATATCTGCCAACATGCAACAGCAATACTCACTTCAGAAAGTGTACCAACTGGAGCAGAAACATTACAACTTAACTGTTCAAAAGACCAATGGCAAACAAATATCGATAAGAAATCTGGGATGTCAAAGTCGGGTTATGGTAAAACAGAGCATGGATTTGATTAACAAAATGAAGTAAAAGCGACAAAACATGAAAAAATGTCAATGACTGTAACTTGAACGAACGAATATTAAGATACAAATGATACAGCCCAGACACACCAATGTCAGACGATAAATAGAATTTAAAGGAATATAAGATAACAGTGACGGAAACAGACTGAAGAGATAACAACACATCCTATAAGGTCTAGACACATCAGCATCTGACCATAAAAATATATTAAACTAAAGGGAAACAATCTCACAAGCAGCATCAGCTGAAATTGTGTTACTGTCATTTAATTGCAATCAAGAAACTTGCTCCGTCTTGTGCTGGCAGAATGACCCCTGTCACCTGTGAGTGTCAATTGTCATTATCCAAACACAAGGTCTGATTCTGACGACAAATGTCACAATTTGCTGCAGAAGCCCTGAAAGATCAATGCAGACAAAGACATCTTACAACAAAAAGAACAGACAAAAACCCACCAGGATCATAAGGCCAATTGCCAACATTTGAGAAAATTGATTGTATAGTACTAAATGATTGTCCCGTCCCTCTGTAGCTATGTGTAGCACTTGAAAGTGTTTGCAAAACGTGCAATGACCACTTTGCCTCCAACATGACCACCAGTTTATTTAATCTACCCTTCCCTTTAGGAAAGCCCATTTCTCTGAAAACTTGAAACCTCCCTAGTTTCCCTTTTAATACAAAACAACTGATGTCATTGTGATCACAAGCGCAACTGACAATGTTCACTTTATCAGACATAGCTTCACCAGCCAGGAATTTGTCATCAGCAAGTACAGGTTTTTCGCCAGAATAGAGGGATTTTCTATTTTGATCTTTACCTGGGACGTTGGTTTTATCATGTAACTCTTCAAACAAACCTGGTATCCTTTTACTCCCTTTCACTTTTTTGATTTGGTCGATGGAATTGCCTGATGAAAATTCAAAATTTGACACACTGTTAAATCTGGAATGATTTTCACAGTCACTTAGCCCCACCCTTGCTATAATTGGTTTTTGATCTTTATTTGAAATTTCTCTCACTTTAATCATTTTACCCCTCACAACAAGAGTGCCAGCTTCTATGTCAATTATCACCCCCAAATTTTGTAAAACGTCATGACCTAAAATCATTTCATCATGAATGGGAGCTATGTACTGTGTTTGGAAAGTACTGGATCCAAGTTTCATTTTCAGAGAATCAATGAAATAACCCTTCAGTACTGCATTGTCACTTGCCAGACTCATTGCAACATCTCCCAATATTGATGGTTTTCTTTTCAATTTTTCGTAAACTTTTGTGGAGAGAATGGTCACCTCCGACCCAGTATCAACTCGGGCATGGATTGGTAAACCTCCAAGCTTAAGTTTTACGTAAGAATTTGAAGCAACAGTCTGTTGAATATGAGCTTTTGGTGTTAAATTTTGATCTCTCTTGTTAATTGGTTTTTTCATTGCACACTCAGCTGGGTTAGGTGTTTTAGTGACAGCTCCTAGATGATCTAGTTCACTTGTTTGTATAGAAATGTTATAGGCGTTTGTTGACAACTGAGGTACAGGATTGCCAATTTTGTGATTGGATTCAAGTGGATTAGTAATCTCACTTATACTGTTAACATGCACATCCATTCGTGTAGCAACATGGCTGTTACGCTGGTGAGGTTGAGTAAAATTTTTCAAAGTGTTCCCCTTATTTTTCTTCAACCAAATTTTGTGTTTTTCACAATCCCTTTTAAAATGATCTGGACTATGACAGAAGAAACAGGTTTGTCTTCTACTCAAAATTGGTGTTGCTAATTTCAACATAGTTTCCACTACTTTTTCAAGGTTGTGCACAGGTGGAACTTCAGCAGATTTAACACTTTCTTTCTTTCTGTTTTCGAAGAGTAAAGAAACATGCTGATAATATTTCACTTTGTTTATAGCAGCCTCCATGCTTTTTGGTAGTTCTAAACAAGCATACTTTCCAGCCTCCCAGTCTGAACAACCTAAACAAAACTGTGTTATTGCCTCTTTATTAATGAAAGATTCTGGCAGATCCACATAGGCTGACATTGCTAAAGAAAGGACTCTTGCTGCCCAATCACCGAGAGATTCATTTGGTTGTTGGTAAGAGTGTTGGAATTCTACCCGGGCAATTTCAGGCAAAACTTCATCACTAAACCGAGTTTCCAACTTCTGCAAAATTTCCAAATATGAGAAGTCTTTACCCGATTTTGTAAGGCGTGTGTAGTAGTCTAGAGCATTTCCTTCTAGACTCCATGTTAGATAGTCTTTTGATTGAATATCGGACCAACCATACACTTCTTTATAGCTCTCAAATTTATGTTTGAATGATTGCCAATTACTTTTCCCATCATATTTAAGAGAATTTGGAAGATCACTGGGATTTCCCCTCTCTTCCCTCGAAAAGTTGTAGTTTTTCTTAAATTTTTTGAATTTACAGCTTGATGGTTTTTGTAATGGAGCTGGATGTTTTAAAGAATGTGTAAAGTGATCCTTTGATGTTAGTTTGCTATCCCATTCACACTCTTCCGCAGAAGATGATGTTATTCTTCTAGGGTTTAAACAAGATCTAGGACAATTGTTAGAAAGGTTTTCCTCATCTCCACTGCTACGAAAACAAGCAGCTTCAGAATGAGTATAAGCCCCCTGAATGTCATTGTTAGCACTACTGCATGGTGTTTTAGCAGCATGTAATTCTGTTTTAAAATGACACCTAGATCGAGAAGTATCTTGTTCCTCATTGGAAGAACAAGCATGGGAAGAAAGTCTAGACTTCAGCTCACTTAATATTTCGCTTGATGGTTTTAGATGTTTTTGCGAATTTAACCGAAAATGGCCAGTTTCCGATTGACATTTAGAAGATAGTTTTTCTCTTCGAACTGATTTAGAATCAACTTTGGGCACTGAAGCCATAGCCCCTTCATCTGATTTTTCCATAGCAGCCAACCTGGCTCTTTCCTTCTTCAGTTCTGAAAGAGTTTTCCTTAATTGTAATAATTTGGCAAAATTTTCCGAAATATGTTTTTCTAAATGTTTATTGGAGAGCTGTTCTCTAGAACTTTCGTTTTCCTCCAGTTTAGCATGACTGAGAGTAGTTGCATTGGTGTACATTGAAGCAGGTGATCTCCACTTTCTCCTATCATCCATAACTGCAATGAGTATATGAACAATAATAAATCCAAAATAAAACAATATATACAAACTTACAATGGAGAATGTGATAATGAGATACTTGTTGAACCTGAAACAATTACCAGCATACAAACAGCACACCTGAGACCAAAAGTTGCTAGGCTTAAGTGAGACTAATTAACAGTGCATTAAAAGTTCCTGAAATATAATCAGTTCACTGCAATAATATCAAGTGAATAAAATTGCTAAGCCAATGTGAAACAAGTCCCAGTGCATTAAAAGCTCCTGGATTTGACCAGTTCACAACAACAATTGAAAAGCAGTGTGAAGCACACCTGGAATTTCAACTTGGTCCCAATAAACTAGAGTAATGTAAGGTTAAAAGGGTAAAAGTGGTTGAACAGTTCACAAGAAAATTCACAAGGCGTGTACTAAGTGTAAGAAACAGAGTTGCCGGCTAGCCTCACGTGAATGTATGAGCTTCTAAGATGATTACGGCTCACCTGTGATACAGTTGAGTGAGTTTTTTCATGGAGAACGAATAAAGCGAGTATGTGGTGTTATTATTTTCAAAAAACTTGTCAAAATTTCTTTATTTACCCTAAACGGATTCCTTATGGGCCCTTGCAAACTAAACTTCATTGAAATGAATTCAGTTACCCGATGCACCTGCCCCTCCCTTAAAAAAAACAAAGAAATTTCTGACCTCAAGTTTTTGAATTCCCCGCGTATTTTCTTAGGATCCTCGTCGCCAATAAAGTGTTTATGCGAGCTATCTGTCCTCCGTTCGAGGCTCGTGTGTCCTCTCCTCGCACCGAGTGTCCTTATTTAGCTCTGCTCTACGTCGCCAGATCCGCTCTATACATATAGCAATATGTCAAACATCAGAAACAAATTGTACTGTTACAGTTGTATAACTTTAGTGCCTCTTTACCCAGTGAGATCTTTTTTTAAGTTAACTTCAGTATCAAGAATTTAAGACTTAATAAAGAAAACCTGTTGATGCTCTGACAGAATATATTTATAACTTATATAATACGGTTGATTCTGGTATTTTAAAACTTGATTCTGGTAAAATACTTTTGATTCCAGTAATTAGTATGATCCTGATAAAGATTTATTAATACTTTATTATTATTGACATATATAATTATTTTTCAGGCCACGGCTAAGTGCAAATGAGGAAGCTGACAGCAGTGCTGATTTTGATAGGTTTTACTTCAGGTATTATTCAGAGTATTCATACCAGTACATTGTAATATGAGTGTTCAGTATTTATCTCATATGGCCAGTGCTTGAAAGATAGCTTAATTGCATTTTTAATGCAGGATGCAGGGAAGCGTCCTCCCAGGAATGTCAAAAGGGGATCTTTTTCTGTAAAAGAAACCTTTAACTTAATTAATTGTATGAAATTTGCTTGTATCTAAATCAAATTTTATCCAGAATGGACTTTTCCCTGCAAAAAGGACACTGAAAATGGTACCTCCCCCCCTCCCCCCCCCCCCCCCCCCCCCCTTTGGCTACAGGACTATTCACGCGAAATACAAATGCAAATATCCTATTGTTTGAAGTTCCAGCCGTGGGATAATTATGGTAAGGAATTATGATTTTGATAGGTTTTACTGTGTGTCATAATATATATTATGATCTTGTATATATCACATGCTTGTTTTGTATCTAGTACTAGTACTTAAATGACAAATTGCATGCAGTTGTACAGTACCTGGGTCAAATAAAATTTTAAAACAATTACATTATGTGTATTCTTTTTAGCATATATACTTTTTGTGTCTCTGCAGTATGATTACACAGTAAACTACAGAAATCCATTCCATTTGTTCATCCAAAAACCTTCACTATTATCACAGTTCATATTTGTTGTATATTACTGCCAAGTAACTAAACATGACTGCTCATTTTTCCCAGGGCCTATGGGGATATCTCTATACATGAGACCATGTTGGGGGATACTGCTAGGACTAATTCTTACAGGTGAGTGCCCAAAAATATGTTTTGATGATTGAAAAAACTTTTAAATAGAGGTGCTTCCCCCCCCGTTTTCATATAACAAATTTAGCATAAGCTAATTATGAAATTCCTGTTTATGAAACTTGAAATATTTGAGAAATATTGAAAAAAAATCTGATTGATGTGAAGAATTCCATTTCTTACATTTTCAGATCTGCAATATTTGGCAGTGGTGCTATAAAAGACAAAGTCATTCTAGATGTGGGAGCAGGCACAGGTGTGTGTGTACGTGTTGTGTGTGTGTGCGCGTGTGTGTGTGTGTGTGTACGTGCGCGCGCGTGTGTGTGTGTGTGAGTCAACTCTGATATTAAAAGTTAAAATATTTAACCAAAAGTGAAGGAATGCTCATTGAAAAACAGAAAGTATCCATTTTAATGCCAGTCATCATATTGTTGAAATAGGTGCAAAAATTAAGTCAACTTCATTCAAAGTTGACTATAGGAAAGTTAGTGAATCTTAACCTTTCATTTTGAGGACAAAACCATAAAAAAGATAACATGCTATCATAGTGCAAGTCATGCAGACTAAAAATAAATTTATTAGTGCCGGATCTGTTATTGCAGGTATATTAAGTGTTTTTTGTGCACAAGCTGGGGCAAAGCATGGTAAGTTGATTAGGATCACTAACTTACTTATATATCTATCTATAATTATATAAATGATCAATACTATAATCATGCACTAAAACCAACTCTGACAAATAGTTTGTCAATGCAAAATACACAGTATTGCACTTTTTAAAGTGGCCCCAGACATTAAATATATTTTTACAACATACAAGTATTTCTTGACTGATAAACATGCTATTATATCAAGTTACAACATTTAAATTCAATTTTGTTATTAGGTTCTCAAAAGTTAACTTACTAGTATGTTCTCAGTACTAGGCATTTCCCATTTGCAGTGTATGCAGTTGAGGCATCATCCATGGCTGAGCAGGCCAAGCTAGTTATTAAGTGCAATGGAGTTGAGGACAGGGTATCAGTGATACAGGGGAAAGTAGAGGTAGGACACCATGCACCATGCATGCAACATGTGTAAGCAGAGTGAACTTTGAGGGTAAATTTAAAGTCCTTTTTTTTTTAAGGAAAAATCCTCCCATTCAAAATTGTAGAAATATTTTATGAAAATTTCTGCAGATATATGTTTTTGATATCTTTTTTACTAACAAACCAGTGGGAAGTAAAACATGTAACTTTTTTCAATGGCATAGGTTACTACAGAGTTACTAGTAAAAGTAAAAAAAGTTATTCAGAAGTAAGTGTTATGTGGATAGATGATTAGAATTGGACCCTTGCAGTGACACCTTTCATCTAAAAAATTTAATTTATGATTTTATTTGTATAATTTTAGGATATTGAACTCCCAGAGATGGTAGATGTGATTGTAAGTGAATGGATGGTAGGTGAGACATATTTTGATTGATACTTCTCTAAAAAGCCATGGGCACTATTAGCTGTTTGTACTACACTCTGTAATAGTAAAGAATACTTTGATCAGGTTCAAGATGGTTTATTATTTGATACTTAAAAACTTAAAAGTATTTTTGTAATGTAGCTTTGTGGTCAGTTTATTTCAGTATTTCACAATTTGCATATATGCTAGTAAAATGCCTTTGTATCAATATTTAGGGATATCTACTTGTATATGAATGGATGCTGAGTTCCATTATATTTGCCAGGGAAAAGTGGCTAAAAAACGTGAGTTTTTTTTTCTTCTTTTATACAGCAAATTCATCAAGATAATATTTTTTTTAGTGAAATTTCATTCATATATAATATAAAAACTAAGGCCAGCAAATGATTATAAGTTTATTGAGCATGCGCACTAAATGCATAAATTACAGTGACATTTAGGGGTTATCTATTCTACGTATCATCCACATACAATACACATACAGTACTTGGATAACATGATTACATGATATATTTTAAGTAAAATGTGTTAAAGTAAAAAGTTTGACCAGTTATAAGTTAGTCTCCTGGAGCCCCTAGACATATGATTATGCCTACATATATGCTTGGAGAAATTGAAAGAATTGATTTTGTTTCTTTAGAATGGTGTTCTCTTTCCAAATACGGCATCTGTTTTTATAGCTCCTCTAGGAGACTGTGAAGATCTGAGAGACAGGTCAGTAAAACATCCTATGCATAACATACTTAAGAGCAGTCTGTAAAGATTTTATAAATTCCTTTATCATAATTTTCTTATATATATATATATATATTCAATTAACAAAATTGTTTGCTGTTGACTTATAGGCTGTATGGTCTGGGTATAAATGAATATAGAAGTCACTATAGTAAATAAACTACCACTTCTTTACATATATTAGGCTTCGTTCACATGGAAAGTCTATTTTCTAAAAAATCTATTTTCTATTGGCAGTATATCTTGTGATCACGATCTGTGCCCTGAATATCCTGCGGCGTAATTACTAGCAGCGCGAGCCAGTTACTTCCAAAGCTGTAATTAATTCTCGGCTGTGCTCGGAGGAGATTCTGATACCTTGACGCGTGCGCAGTAGGAAGTTAGAAAGTTAATGGCGGTTGTGGTTGCTTTGAAAAATGTGTTTGTCGATTTTGTGCAACAACAAGTTGAAGAAGATGAAGAAGTATACACACGACAGATACGAGTGCAACCGTCATGATCCGATGGCAAGCGATGCGGCAACAGAGGATGAGATTTTATAGAATGCGAGCACAGCCGAGAATTAATTACAGCTGACTCGCGCTGCCAGTAATTACGCTGCAGGATATTCAGGGCACAGACCGCGAATAGAAAATAGATTTTTAGAAAATAGACTTTCCATATGAACGAAGCCTTATACTGAGTTTGATGGGAAAATACAGATAGCATTCACCTTCTTAATCAACACAATCTATTTTCTGTATTTTCCAACCTGACACAGTGTAAAAATCCCATCTGGCACAATGCCAATGGTCTTATCCTGTCTTGATTATATCAATCCATAGGCATTTGCTTTTTCTTTATGATAATCAGATTTTTAAAAAATTTATAGATTGAGGTTTCTGTGAGAAATGAGACCACAATATATTATAGATAAATTTCTTTAATTATAATTAGATTTTGATTTTTAGGTTAAAGTTTTGGGAAGAAATGAGACCACTCTACGGTGTGGAGATGGCGTCTTTACAGACGTATGCAAGGAAATGCCTCACAGGTGAGATAAAATTTTATTCCCTTGTATTCCAGGAAAAGAAATTTATCAGCAGTAAAGTTATGAAAAATTGCATCATCCCTTGAATGCTATGATTTACTTCTAGAGAAATATATTGGTTGGTTCATTACTCATTCTTTCAGTTACACCATTGTTGGTTATAATGGTCAGCTATGTTTTTAAGTTAACCTTTGTAGATGCAGGTATGAAGAAATTTATTTATTTATTTATTTATTTATTTATTTATTTATTTATTTATCAGAAACCAATATTTTAGCAAAAAATAAGCAGTTAATTTTCCTATTCCAGATGTGGTCCATGTTCAGCTGGTGCCCCCTCAGAATGTTCAAGCTCATGCCTGCCAAGTGTGTAACATTAATCTGAAAACTGTACAGGAAGAAGATCTCAGCAGTGTGAAGGTATATTATTGTGTCTAACAGGAAACCTTGTGAAATTGGAAAACTTTTAATCATCATTATAAGGGCAGTTCTTTGTTTCATTTAATAACTTCAACTAGAAAATAATGTAACTAATGAAATCAATATTTAACATGTTTAATGGTTTAGTCAATTCCTTTCTAAAGGTATGCAGTCATGGCTTTTCTGTAAGGCTTTATTTGTTTTGGTATTTCTTATATTTCTAGATCACCCGAGATAATTTTTTCCACTTTCGTAAGAGTTAAGTTTTTTGTGATAAGACTGAGGAGCAATTTCCTATTTTTTAGATCATCCAGGTTTAAGTGTATACATATTCTTATGCAGAGAACAAAGTAAAATCTTAGACTGTTAAAAAGTACGTAGTTTGCACTACTTTCACTTTTTTCCACAGGGCAATTTCCAGTTCAAGTGTTTTGGATACTCCAGAGTGTGTGGGTTTGTTGTATGGTTTGACGTCACATTCCCTGATCACTCTCAACTGTCCACCTCCCCATATGCCGAGTAAGTGCACGCGACAGTTTTTCTTGAAGAGATAGAAACAGTTTAAAATATCTTATATTCTTTATCATACTTAAAAGTGAAAGATGGGTACTTGAGTTTTTGTAACCTGCATGCTTATGTGACTTTTAAGATCTTAAATTTTAAAATCCAGTGTTAGTGCCGACTTGCACTTATTGTCAAGTTACAGTTCATACAAATGATTTGTCAGTCCACTGAATAATATTGACGCCTTGGCAATGACTAAGATATCACAAGATGTCACAAGATAGTTTGCCAATTTGTACATGCACAAAGAGTGTACATCTCACCTGTGATTCTTTATAAGGCATTGGTTTATAAGAAAATGATGTCGGTATGATATTTTGTTTTTAAAAATATAACAAGACTTGTTATAAAGAATTATAAAGAATAACACTGAATCAATTTCCAGACCCACACATTGGGAGCAGTGCATAGTGTACACCAAGGAAACACAAGATGTAGCACAGGACACTGAAATTACAGGAACATTAGAACTTAAACCTCACAGAAAAGTGTCCAGGTATGTAGAGGTTGACCTCACTTACAAGTTTGGCAATTCTGAGGAAACTCATAAACAGTCTTATTCAATGGATGAGGGAGCTGGGAGCTGAGAAGCACCTTTTCAACACAAAATTTCTGATTCTGAATGGAACTGGCACGTACCAAACCCTTTTGTGGTGCTGCCAGAGTCGCGGGAGGAGGTCGAGCATCGGTGGTATATTTTTCCATCATTCCAATCTGTGACTGAACTTACTAGACTAACAGGCACACAAAGGAGGATTTTCACACCAAAATTTTTATTTAACAAGTTATCCCAGGGTAAACAGTATTTCCCCCCTATTTGCCAACCTTTAATATTCCTTTCCTGATACTTGCCATAACACTTGTGCCATGATTTGCACTCTTTTCAAGCTGTATCAAGATAGACAGGGGGCAGTGGTCATAATTAATTTTACGTTATTTATTAAGGCCATTTATCTGTCATATTTGTTTCAAAAGTTTTATTTGTCCTTAGAAAAGTTTAACAAGGAGCCATCCATGCACTTGAAATGCATTTTAGGTCCTACATTGTGTGCCCTAAGTCTAAGAACAGTGTTGAATCAATTCTCTTCCAAGAATACAACAGTGGAGTGTCCTCCCCAAACTTACAATGAGGACTTTTGCTGGTGCCTGACATCACACCTAGACGATGGTGTGCATGACCTGACAGAGAGAGCCACAACAGGAGAACAAACCCAAGCCGAGTGTCCATTCTCACACCGATGTTTATTATGCTGGAGAATATACAAATTAACATACATTTAATATTAAATAGAACAAAAAAAATGTTACATAATAAATGTTTTAAGAAAGAAGTTAATGTGGTTTTATGTAAAATTGAGCATTTTAGTTTATTTTTTTAGTCTTCTCAAGGTACTACCAAATGTAAAGGATTGATAAACTTGGTATTCCTACTAAAATTTTGGCTTGTTCACAATATTTTTTCAAATCTGTTTTTTAGATTTATTTTTAAGGATCAAATATGCCTACTTATATTAATTAAGGTGTAAATACTTTAGCATTTCTTCTGGCTTAAAAAATTCTTATCACTTAATTATATACAATTGCAGGTGTTTGTAATATGTATGCACATCAGCCTGAAAAATAGTGAAACAAAGGAAAGACCAACACTTAAATTAAAAATTTATTTCATGACCAGGAACAGTCACAGCCAGATGTAGCAGTTACAAAGTGGCCGTCCAATTACATTTGCTTTACTAAGCCACAAGACCTAACTTCAGTTTTCCAGTATGCTGAAGGATCTGTTTGAGACACACAAAAAGACAAAAAAAACATAACTCTCCTAAAATTTTTAAAAAAGATTTGATCAAGGTAAAAATTGTGCCTCTTTTTGTTTCTTGTTATTTCATCTGAATATATTTGACTAAAACGTGTTAATTGCTGTTTGCTGTGAAATACACCTGCAACTTTAAGATGGCAATTTGGATAAATAATGATTTCCTTTTTTTCTCTGGGTGCATCATTATCCACAGAATCAAAATTGCTTGCACTAATGAGCCCCAGATAATGCAAGCATGTCTTTTCAAACTTTTTTTTTGGCTTTGTTCACTTTTCATATCCATCCTCATGCCAGTGTCATGATGTATCTAGAACCCAAAGAATGTTGATTCCTGACATGCCTAGGTTAACTCTCCTGGAAACAAATGGTAAAGACATGAATAAATCAAGCATCGTAATGTACATACTAACATTCCATCAAATGTAAGGGCAAAAATCCTTAATGGTTATAATAACATCCAATTTATGAATACTGAATGATGTAAAATGAACATGACAAACTAGTAAGTAAAACATGATTGTCCGGTTATAATAAATTTGTAATTTCTATAAAGAAGATTTATTGGACAAGAGATAAAGCAAAACAACGGAAAATATTCTGGGTTGCAGCATAGTTACCCTAGCATCCCATGCTCTTTTGTCTTGATATGATGTAAAAACAGTAAAATACAATGGAACATGTTATTTCTTCCCTGAAACAGATATAAAAAATATAACCTACAGCTGAATATTGCACCAATAAATAACTAAAACTCCCTGACTTTCTAATAACAGCACTGATAAAAACCACATATTTAAATTAATATCAAATTGGCTTATTACTTGATATTACAAAGATCATGGCAAATATGTCTTCTAAAATTCTGTACATTCCTATATGATTCTGTATCAAGTCACTGAATATATGCTGTTAAGCATTTAGTATTTTTTAATTAATATGAAATCAAAATATGACATTCAAATTATCCATTATTCCATGCATTGGTAAGTTTATTAAACATCATATATTACCTTAACAACATCCCAAGTGTCATCTCCATTGATGACTTTGTAATGTGGGGGATTGATGCCAGTCTGGTACAACAGTAGCTGATCTTTCTTTGTCAAATCTGAAATACACGGAATATACACTATCAAATAATGTGTCAATATGTAGGAGAAAGTCCTCGAAGCTTACAAATATAAAGTTTCAAAATTTTAAAAATAAAACCTCACAGACTTGAGCACTTCCATATAGTTGCACACATCTTGATTACGATGTACGATTTACAATTGTGAAATACATAATATATTAAACAAACAACAAACAGAGATGTAAAAAAACTGAATAACAGGAAGAAGCCTTCCCAGTTGAATCAAAGTTCAATTAGTATCACATAATAAACCAAATTTATTATGCATTATCACCATCAGTAGTCACACATCTTACTTGGCTTTGTTGGCGTCTTGATAAAATGTTCTGAGGTAAAAGTCTTGCCATCTGGGTACTTTGGATGAGGAGGAAGGCGGGAATCCATGTAGCTACACAATGCGTGCATCACTATCTAAAAACGTGGAAAATATTTTGTTGGTATAATGTTACCTTTTACTTATAATAAATTAATTATTAATAATAATTATTTCATTATTAAATAATTATATAAATAACGTTAAAATAAAGGAAGGGAAAAAGCTCCTTTGTGTTAAGGGTACATGTTAAAGTTGGTCAAAACATAAAAATCATGGATAGAATTTTATTTACAAAATGCCCGGGTGACACTTACTGCACAGTCAGTTGGCAGGTGCTCCCCCCAGGGTTTTCCTTTGACATCACAACCCCCGTTCCAATTGAAGTCACTAAGACAGCCACCCTTACCCAATTCTGAAGATAAGTGAAATAAAATTAGAGAAACAATTGTTCTTCGCTAGACTGTATTGCAAGTAATCAGACAGTCAATATATCACATTACATAATAAAGACTGTTTTGACGAAAAAAAATTACAAAAATTCGTACCATTGTGCATCAAGCTTTGTGTAAGCACAATTGGCACATTAACCCTACTTAATCATTACAATGAAATCTCTATATAAAATCTTCTTTTGACAGTCAATGCTTTTTAAATCTTCAATAATTGCATAAGGCATATAACAAATTTTGTGAAAGAAATTACATATCATTATTATTATTATTGTGTAAGAACCACAATGATTTGCTTACCTTTTATCCTCTCCACTAAGTACTCTTGTTTTGAAGTGACCTCTAGGAAGGGGATCACAGTGTTCAGGGTGGGCACATACTGGCTCTTGGTGACTCCCAACTGTTTAAGTGTGGAGATACTCACTTCTGGAATATCAAAAATATAAATAGTTTACTTAAAATGCAGGGCACTACTATGACCCTTTAACATCTGCTTCATTTTGAATAACAGAAAGAAGACATTTGCAATCACAAACTCACCATTTTAGCTTAAGGACGGCTTTGGAGAAAAATTTCAATTTTAAAATGTCATACATATAATCTAAATATATACGATTTAATTTTGTTCAGCATACCTCCAATCTGCATATCTTCACACCCTATCTTGCTTAATTCTCTGTTAATCTCATTGATCTGAGTCACCAGTCTCCTGAAGATAGTCTGGCTTAACCACTGGAAGAAATCAGAAGATCCTATTAACACAACTGCATCAAAGATATCAGCATCCTTTAGAAACACCATGTACTAAACACTTCAGAAGTGCAAAAGACTGTATAACCCAGACCCTAAGTTGGCGAAAAGAGAAAGTCTTAGTCGATTGCAATGATAAGTTTACATGAACACTGTACTCTCAACTCTCCAGGTCCAACAACCACATTCTTAAATAACAGCTTCAATTTTATCTCAAGGATCATAAGTTGTACAAATTTTACATATTAAGTTTCCTGAGAGCTGTTAGAATAAATAAGGCATTCTGACAGTGCAGTAAGCATTCAACCTATTACACAACCCAAGAGGAAGCAAGGTGACCTAAACTATAAAGCATATGAAATGAACTGTTGCATCTCAAACTTGGACAGACCTTGCGTAGATTTTCTGTCCAGCAGTCCAGTTCTTCTCTTGACACTCCCAACTTCAGCCAAACCTGAAATGTAATCAAGTCACCTGTAAAATCAAGTCATGCCTTCAACATTCTTTTTTTCTTCATTTTCTTTCTTCCTTCCCTCCTTCTTTCTCTCCTTAGCAAAAATCTGAATTTTCAAGTGGATCTACTTGCAGTATAATATTCCTAACATTAATAACAAAAAATACAGCTTGGCATTAGGAAAAAAATACCAGTGGAAAAAATATACTTTTTTTTAACAGCCAAAATTGTTGAGCAATAAGCTGTTATTAAGAAAAAACCAGAGATGTAGTTATGCATAGATTCTTTGGTTATATTCATTGTTGCATCACACTATTAAGTCCCTAAAACCAACACCAGATCATGAGACCTTGGCCCATCTCAGACGGTTTCCATTTGAGTTAAGGCTTCTCACCTCATCTCCTGTATATTTAGCAGGGTGATCTGGATCATCTGAGGAGCGTTTCTTGGCAGACTGGGGAGATCTGCTGGCAATCTGGTACTGATATTTCCTCAACACAGGGGTGTAGTCCATGGCAGAACGGTTAAAGTTCCAGTAAGAGGGACCGGAACTGGGGGACGAGTCGCTAGCTGAAAGCAGGGAAAAAGAAGACAAGTTAAAAGCAGTTTCCATTTTTTTCAAAGAACTTACTTTTCGATGCCTTTTCAATATTCAAATATGTTACTTATCACAAGAATTACAGCTGTTTGGCTTGCTTTCCCATTTCTTGACCTGTTGGGTTCTCAAGAGCAAACTCAAATTTTACACTTATTGAGAAAATTTAATGTGCCAGTGGCAGCCTAGTAAATTAATTCCAAAACCTAGCTTTCTTCTGGGAATATGTATAATTTTGATGTGTGTTATTACTTTCCTTTACCTAGCTGTGACTTGAACTCTCTTTCCTCCTGTTCTTGAAGATACTGACGAAGAGATCCCATATCTGAGATTACATTATCTGCACTCACTGTAAAAATGGAAAATATCATCATATATGCTGAAAGCATTACATCAGGCACAATACTTACACTAACTCTGACAGAGGTTGTAGAACATATTTTTTTCATCCATAAATGTACAAAGTAATCTAAAAATTCCACATTTACTCTAAGTGTATTAGTTTTAACAAATATACAATAAAACATTTTGACCCCCTACTTGGAGAGTTTCTGGATGCCCTTCTCATCAATCCATTGGAGTCTGGTGTCTCACGAAATAGTGCTGACAGGCCGTATGTATTCATAGAGGTGTATGGACTGGTATTCTGTGGGAGAAATTATGATAATACATTTATCTCCTTTTTTGTAATCACTGGTCACGCATACAAATTTTTATGTCAAATTAATTTTTTAACTATCAAATATCTACATTTTGACAAAAAAGATGTAATAATTTTCACATTTTTTAGAATAGATTATCATGGTGAATATTTTCAGCTTTATCCATGACATTTATCTCGCAAAGGCAATCACTGTTAAAATCATTTATTAACATCTTTGACTTATCATTGTACACTCAATTTTAATATAAAAATTAATATTTTGCATTTATTATGTGCATATCAAAACTAAAAGAAAATGAATCTGTAAAAGTAAAGGGAAATTCCCTCATTTTACAGAAAAATGAACAGGCTTCTTCAAAGTTGCAGTGATAAGCTTACCCTTCCAAAGGAAGTACTCGGGCTTCCATAAAAGGACTGTGATTGGTTATGGTAGGTCACGTGACCAGGACTTGATGGAGAGGTATAGCTGGAACTCAGCGGTGAGATGGGGGTCAATGGGCTAAAAAGTGAGGGGGACATTGTGGTGTTTGTTGACCCCGGGGACCCTGGGGACCCACTGCCATGGCTGGAAAAGCTACTCCCAGGGGAAAAGCTGACATTACTGGGGGAGAAGGGTATGGTTCCATCTGGAGAGACAGATGATGGAGCTTTCTCTGGGGACACTTTGAACCCTGGATCTGAAATTTAAAAAAAATGAAAGGTTCACAACTAGTGACAGACCATCATTCAACAGAATTTACTTACCTGGAAATTTCATCACTTTTTCCTTAATTACGATGGTAAATCATATTCAAACCATTCTTGTTTTGTATTTCGAGCCAGTCTCATCATGGTGAAGGAGCCTAGGTTCAAATTAGAAAATAAAATGTACCTGAGTCTTTCACTCCCAGAAGTTTCTGTTGCTTCTCTGTTAGTTCTACAGGTTTAGGTGAAAGTGCAGGTCCCAAGTAACTGATGAAATCTACCAAAAAGTTGAAGGTAAAAACAGCTGCTATGGCACATTCTGAAAAGGTAAGTGATGTACACTGTAAGTGACCAATAATTCATATACTTATCTCTAAAGTGTTTCAAGTCAAATACCAGAACAACATTTATAAACTGGAGACAAACAAATCATGATTTGATTCTGCCAACTAAGTACATGTACATATATTCCTCAAGAATCATAATGTTACATCTCAAATGAGAAGTCAAATCCAAAAAAGGACAGATCTTACAATTATTTAAAAAATCAAATTTAAAGATTTCAGTTAAAACTTACCACTATACCACACAACTGGATGAGTAAGATTCAAACTTCTTGCCACAGGACCCAAAAACCTTTTTAAAAAATACATCATATCCACCATTAAAAATTCTTAATTCATAACATATATATCATTTAAATCATTCTATAACCATAAAGTCAAAAATTCTCTCTATCATTCTTTATACCCACTCTCTCCAAGGTGATTCTCACTAAATTGCATTCAGTTTAAGCGTGAACGAAAGTTAATTACCCCCCCTTGCAGCTTCAGTGGGCATGACAGACATTTAAGTCGCTTAAGCTGAAAGCAATTTAGCAAGAATCCCCTCGGTGTTAGATCGATCCTGCTAGCAGATTTATGGGAACAGATTTGTGGGAACCAGTGTGCTTTGCCTTAATCTGAAGTTGCACATTAACATTTAAAATCCTTGCCTCACCCCCACCCCCTCTAGACCCACTGATCATTGAAAAAACTTATTAATCCACTCACAACTCAAAAAGCATAGCCGTGGCCATGATAAAATTCACCATTCCCCAGAGCAATGCCGTCTTTGAATGCTGAATAGTCTCTTTCTTTTTCATCGTTTCCTCCACCTCTGGTCTCTGAGCTCTGCCCAGGCGGTATCTGGCAGGTGTGGAGGGGCTTGGCGTGGCCATGTTTACCCTGGAACAATTTATTCATGATGTGAATTTTCAAAACTCAAGACTAAGTAATATCCGTTTCTATGTTTTGAGGGTTGGGAAATGGATTTTGCGATAATATTCAAGAATACAGGGGTTATTTTCTAATTTATAGGAGGAAATGAACTTTTCTGTAGGCTGAATAATCAATCATGTCCAATGGTCGAAGTCGCTCCATGTTTCTTCACACAATACCCCTACAACTTACCCAACAAAATCAAACTGAAATCTGGGCAACCGGCGGCAATGGGAAACTGAAAACTGAATAGCCGCGCACATGGGGCGCATTGCTGAGTGACAGATACGAAAACAAGTCCTCTAGATTTATATATAATATTACACTATATTTTTTCCCAACTATAACAAAAATTTTGCATTTATTATAATGTATTTAAATGACAAATGATGGGACTTAAAATGCGAGGAAAAATTTATGTGCTGTGAAAACTGTCCCGCAGAGCACAGTTATTTCAAGATGGCGGACGACCAAGAGCAGGTGCGTGTTTTTATGTGTCAATTTGGTGGTGTATTTCTACTCACTTAGGGCATTTCTGACCACTAAGTACATTGGCCTAATTGAAAACATGTATCAAGGATATAGAGAAAAAAATGTCATCTAAATTACCTGACGTTCAATTCTAAAATAACCATACCGGCTCTTACACCCCCCCCCCCCCCCCCATGTGGTTTGTTTTATATCATTTGCCACAAATCCGCGTGCGTCTCTCGTTTGGTTAATGCGTGTAATTTTTATATACCTTTTTTGCCAGAGGACCCTCTTTCGTTATGAATAAAATTAGGTGTATAGCAGCCCCTTGTTAAATCAAATCCTTTAATTGTGAAAAACCACATTGAAAGGAGTATAACTGTAGGACATACATACCATCATTATGGCATTGTGGCGCTTGTTGGGTTGTTACGTAGTGGGTACGTTGCATATTGCGTAAGCTATATATTGCGTGTGGTTATAATAAAAAAATACGACAGTTTTACTGATTTCCTATGTCAGTGCATCTTGACATATTGTTGAATACTTTGCACTTCTGACATTTAGAACGATTGTCACCACTTTTGTCAGTATTTTTTTTCCTGTATTATGTAACTACTGCATTTCAGCAAGCCCCAGCCAACACTGTGGAAGAGCCCTTGGATCTGATACGACTCAGTTTAGATGAGAGGATTTATGTTAAGATGAGAAATGATCGTGAACTCAGAGGAAGGCTACATGTGAGTCTTATCATATTAAACTTAGTTTGAAAAATAAGTAATACGCCTGTAGAAAACATAATGTTTTATCCTCAGTTTTTTAATGTGTAATAGACTAAAAAAAGTGCATTGAAAGCAAAACAACAGAGTTAGTTAAAGACAAAAAGAAATCATGATTTTATTGTTATGCTTATTTCAAGTGAATGTGTTGAATAAGAATCATTGTCACATTAGTAAGTTTTTTTTTTTTTTTTTTTTTTTTTGACAGTTTTCATTCATTTCTCGATTGCCAGTAATTGATAGCTGCTATTTTTAAATTTATAAATAATTTGCAATCACTTTCAGGCATATGACCAACATTTAAACATGATCCTTGGAGAGGTGGAAGAAACCGTGACAACAGTAGAGATAGACGAGGAAACATATGAAGAAATTTATAAGGTACAGTCAGAAAATAATTGAATTATGCTACATAGCCTAACTACAGTTACAGCATTGTGTACTTTCTATTTTTAATTGTTTTTGGCTGTTACTACTATTTTAAGTATAATGGAAGAGATTCATTTATAGGCGAAAGTGAATTTAAAAAAAATATGTTAAACTACGTGTATAAAATCAAAGGTAAATTTGTCTAGATATTGTGTATTTGTTATGTTTAATAGTCAAAACATAATTTTTCCAGATTGGAATAAAATTTGTAATTGCCATTGCAATTATTCATTACTTTATATTTTTAATTGTTTTTTTATTTTTCCTTTGACTGTTACTACTCTTTTTGGTATAATGGAAGAGAGTCATTTATAGGCAGAAATGAAAATTTTAAAAAAATTTACAGATAACATGCTACTCTAAGAACTTGGTTGGAAAGCAGTTCTGTCGATAGTTTCAAATAATGTTTCTATATATTTTGCCTAAAAGTTGCCTCATGAATGCAAACAGAGGAATTATTCTGCCATTTAGTGGATTTCGTCCTAAAGGTCATTCATGGCATTTGTTCAGATCTAAGCTCACATGGGCTATGGTTTAATTAAAAATTGTTCTTTTTATGTACTGTTCTTTGCATTCTTGCTGCTACTTAATTGAGATAGTTTAATTACATAATTGGCCATTTCTGTTTTTTAGTCCACAAAGAGAAATATCCCTATGCTGTTTGTAAGAGGAGATGGAGTCATACTGGTCTCACCTCCACTCAGAACAGGATAACATAGAACTAAGACTTTCTAATATGAGACATTACTGTTATTGTGGGCTTCATTGATGAAATCAGTGAGTGCATTAGTAAAGGTAATCTTGATGTCAGCAGGGATGCCAAAGCAGATGCTATATGAGGCATAAGGACATATTTTGCTGGTCATCAGTGATTTTGGTTTAAAAAAGCTTTCTGGATTAATTATGACAGCACCTTGCTGCTTGTCATTGCAAGTTGATAACTGTTTCCAGCCATTGGGCTTTTCCCCATACGTCAGGCTTTCAACAGATTCCAGGACAGAAATCAGACAAGCGCAACAGTTACTGTTCTGAATAAGATGTATTATGTGTTTTGCCCAAATTTCAATGAAATGTTGAATCAGTGAAAAGGTAATAGCATACTGGCTCAGAATTAGAAGTATTGCACACATAAGTTTTACTAACTTTTACCCATTATAAAGCCCGACTATTGTCCTTGTCCTTTTTTTTTTTTACATTTAGTGACTGAATTCTTAAATGTAGACCTATTTCTGTTTAAGAAAATTATTCCAATTCTTAAGATGTCACTTTTTGGTCTTGAAAATGGCAACAAGATCATGTTGTTAATGGTGTTACTTAGCCATGATACTTGGTGGCTTTAAATAGCTGTATTATAGAAACAATATTTTTTACTTTGTAATAAACAATATAATATTTAGTTTTATGTCAGTATTCATATAAACCTTTAAAAGTTGTGTTAAAAATTGCTGTTAACTTGGTTAACAATGTATAAAATGGTGTCACTTACAAAAAATATAGAGAGTGGGATAAAAGAAAAGCATTTTTTAAAAATGCCTCCAATTATTTATTTTAAAGTGGTAAATTCAGACAGTGAGCATATTATGAAAATTTACTTTAAAATTAATAGATCAAAATAATAATAGTTATTATAAAAAGAGCAGAAAGAAACCAAAAGAAAGAAAAGTAAATTTTAAAGTTTTTATTTACTGTTACAGAAATACAAAGTTGAGAGAAGATAACGTGTATACTGTCTTATAAGTACAGCGATTCATTTGTCTGTGCAAAAATCTTGTCAACATGGTTTGTAAATAAATGCCAAAACTTCTCCAACTACAATTCAAAACAATTAACAAACAGATAAGTATCTTCATGATATCTTTCACATTTGTGAGTCATTTTCACATATTTTGATGCAACATTCACTTTCTATTTTGAGAAAGTTTTTACTGCAGCACCACTTGCTGTGTCTCTGCATCATAAAGTGGGTTATCAAAGTTTTCACCAACATGGCTGCTGGAAGTCTGAGGTTCCTCTTCGCTGAGGTGGGTAAATCTCTCGAAGAAAAGACCGCCTTCCTGAATGATAGATCATATTGAATATACTTCAGTAGATTATTGTCATCCTGATGTTAAAAATAGTACCTCATTAAAATTACAGTTAATGATGCACTATGATAATGGATAATCTTGTTGTTGAAAAACAAATTATTAGAAGCAATTAAGCACTGGGTGTTTAACCAAAGTTTTTTTTATATATGAGAAAAAGACTCAAAAAGATACTGATATTTTATTCAAAAAGATTTTGACTGAACCATTGCACATTTTGAAGATAATTTCAAGGTGTTTTTTGTTTTCTTAAAGAAAGTTAATTGTATGTGTGTGTAAACAATATTACCTTTCTGAATCTCATTAAGATGTCCACCTTTCCACTTTTCTTCCACCAGAATTTGTACACCAAAACAAGTACTGCCAGTACTAGTATGCTTGCCACAATAATTCCGATTAATTCTGCTATCAGTGTGGTACTCTGTTGAAACAATACAGTAACTCATCTATTAACATGTGTATACATGGCAAAGTTGTAGTTTTAGAAGGATATGTTGTTCAGATTAACTAAAACTTAATATGAAATGGAACTGATGATGCACCCCATTTTACAAAGCTGGAATATAAAACCAATGAAGTTAAGCATTTCTTAATAACTTCAACATAACTTTAAATAAAAAATTACTTTAAAAAAAATCAGTTACGGAAATGGACCATTTACCACATTTTCAATATACAGCAATTATAATCTATGACATATGGCACATACATTACAGATGACCATTCCCAGATTCTGAATTTGAATACAATATGCTAAGAAAAGAGTCACAGCACATTTTACTAATTTTTCTGAATTTTTGTAGGTTTTCTTTAAGTTATGCTCTAGGTCAATTAAACTTCTACTTACTGATCCTGCAGTAGAAAGCTCTCCTCCAGGTACCTGACAATGTAAGATAGATTAATTGATTAGTCAAAGTATTAATTTACTCTCTCTGCTCTCCTATTTATTACACAATCATATGTTACAAATCTATGTAAAAATTTTAATTGAAATAGATCTTTTGTCATAATTAATACACGTATAATAGTTGATAAATGTACCTGTAATAATGGACAACTCTGGGAATACTAATTTAATTAGTTGTCAACCACAAACGTAGCTGTCATGCATTCACATGGGTTTACATTAGTTTTATTCACATTTTGCCAATAATGTGAATGAAATTTAACTGGTGTAATGCATCAAGATCATCCAAGATAACCAAAAATCTTGTGACTTAAAATCAGAACAAGATTTCACAGGATATGGAGGAGGGTGGGGTCAGAAATAATCATTATGGCAGACTGGCCAATGCACTGTGTTGACAAATAGGTAAAAGCTGAGAGAATATATCCACAAAATTAATATCTTCTGATAGCTATGTTATACAAAAGTACAAATTCACCATGTTTTGCGAGCCACTCTTGTATTGCTTTCTAAAAAGACATCACAGAAGTTTTTACTGTAGCACTACTTGCTGTGTGCATGAAGTTTCACATGCATTGCTAAAAAGGTGGACACTTACATTCTTCTAGCCTCATGCGACAAAGCTACATAGTGTTGCTAGCTTCATTTCAGGCTATCTTGGATGATCTCAACTTTATCAATATTTTTCTTATCATTTGAACAAAATATTATTGATAAAATTTCCTGTATTAAGGATACAAAAGACCTTTTTACCTTTTGAGTTGAAATATGTGCCAGCTCTAGTGGTTGTTTTATTATGTGTATAATCCCATTGGTTGCTGGTATATTTGCCTCAATCACCCTAATACCATCTACATAGAAACCCTGTTTAAAAGAAATAATCTAAATCAGTACATAAAATTGTAATTATAAAATTATAAATTAAAAAATTATAAAATTTCAGTTGGGACTGGCGTAAATAAAAGAGGCCTCAACGTGCTGACTACCTTTCAATGAATCCACCAATACACTGTTTGTCATTTATTTTGGGAATCGCCTATTATAATGATGGCCTATCTTGGGATGGAGGAGATATAAATGCATATTTTTTTAAGCTCCCCAACTTTTCACACAGATGTTCAGAGAGGAGGAGGTCATCTCTTGAGTATGTACCACCAGCATGGCACGTGCTTTTAAATCATGAGCTGGGAACATTACTGTGGACATTCTAACAAAAGATTTCTAGGTGTAAAGAGCACTAAAAATTTTAATATTTCAGACTTTTGGTTAACATAAATTAAGTACTATTCAAGTGAAAATGCATCAGTCATCCCCCAAATAAAATAGATAGATACTGTTAGATAGATAGATAGACAGACTCATTCACCTGTTTCTTAAACTGTACTTTCAGCTGCTGGCCAATCAAAGACACTAGGGTTGTATTGTTGAATTGGTCAGCATCCAAATTCACTGCTCCAGTCACAAAGTGGTTTCTTATTGCAGCAGTAGACAGAGCCTTTGAAAAATGTATCAAGCATTTACTAGTGATTTTTTAAATTCAAACATTTCAATCTGTAAATTTCTTTTTATCTCTGTATGCATACCTAGAAAAAAAGGGGAGGGGAAGGGGGAATCTTTTCGATTAGGAAATTCAAACAATTCTTTTCATCTCTACATACATACTTGTGCATTCACTAGATATAATGACATACTGTCATATCTTTGAGCCAAAAATGATGTAAATAGTACTTTTTTCTCTTACAAATACACCTTGATAAATAATGTGAAAAATATTGCAATATCATATTATAGTAAAATACTGTACATATTATTGTAATGAACAAATCTGGTGTAATTCTTGTATAATTAAGGATATGAACTTTTTGTGTGTATGAAAAATTCCATCATATATTTTTTGAAAGTGTGTTTCTTCCCAATGTCAACTGATTAAAAGATTTAAAACCCCATATCCCAAAAAATGTTTGGGCTGTCTGTTGTAGAAAAAAAAAGCATTACCATCTGTTGTCATAATAACTGTCTATGCAAATTAAATCAAAATTATGAAATTGATTATTTTATTATTTATTCATTAACACTTTTTGGGGGGAGGGTTACTATCAACATTTCGAAGTTTTTGAAATTGGTATATTTGAATACCATTATTTGATCTACAACAAAATTAGCATCACAGTGGTATAAAAATTTCACTTCTCTGCCTTTAATTCCATTTCAATATTCTCTAATGTTAAAAAATGTTTTCTTTGAATAAATGTAAACACATGCACAGCAATGAAGAGTGACTTTCCTAACAAAAACCAGTATTCTCTGATTATGTCCAGAGTTTTACGTTTGTGCATACTAGTATGCTGGAAATTTGACAATGACCTCAAATTAGGATAAAACTAATAATAGCATCCTACTGATAAATTAAATGCATTAGCAAGCACTCGCTCATTTCCATGCAATTTACCTTTTGGCTAAAGTTTCCCTCTGATATGCGATAAGGTACAAATACTGTTGTATTACCCACTCCAGTTTTTAGGGAGTTCACCATTTCCTGTAATTCTTGTGATGTACTTGATGCAGTTAATAGTACCTTAAAATGATTATCAACATATTAAATTATACCAACTTTTGCAAATTCATTACAGTAACTTCTGATGGTTCTAGATGTTCCAATTCAGTAACTAATTTCCTGTCATTTTAGGGAACCATTTGATTCCATGCCTGTCAATGCTTTCATTGCAGTTACTTGTAATATACTACATTGTACATTTATTTAAGTGGACACATGCCAGCAGATGCTGCCATAGATATGTTTCAGTGCTTTGAACCATGATACAGAAGAATATTTCAAGGAATGAAGTAAAATACAAGGAAGGTAATCATTTAGATACAGAATAAGCTCAAGGTAGGTTTTATTTTAAAAAAATAAGTAGAAGTGTAATAAATTTGATAAAATAGAACTATTCTTTACTTAGAGACAAATAACTGCTATCAACCTCTGTCTTTTCAGTCCACCACTGAAATGCAATGTTTGACAAATGTTATTTGTCTGTAAGTAATTCAAAAGAATAATTTTATGTTATCATCCTATGTAGAGACCAAGAAAAAAACACTTTCATAGTGTAACAAGTTTATTAAGAATGACTAACTTAACATTGGTATAAATATGATAATCATGTAATTATCTCTCTAGAAGTTATGGTCAGTGGTCAATAGCCACCCTTACAGTGACCAATCTTGGCAGACTGACCATCACTGTCTCATAAGTTAATCAATTATTTAATGCATTCTTCTAAAACAGTATAGGTCTATCCATACACTGCTTGATTAAAAGTTCAGTTGTTCAACCAAAGGTGAGGGGAAATTGGATAAATGTTTCAGGATTTACTTCAAGCCACACAGGCCCCACAAAACATCAGGATTAGCATCCCAGCAAAACTTCAAAGGGTAATTGGATAAGCTGAGCACAGTGACCACACTGCAGAAGTTCCCTGTCACACAGTTTTCAAGAGTAGCTGATACCAAGTTTGTACATTGGGAACTCAAGGTAGTGAAAAACACATTTTTCAAATATTTAAAAGTGCATTCAAAACAGATGATCGGCAGATTTACGTACTGATCCGCAGACTTAATATGGCCCACCCATCATTAAAGAAAGCTGCTTAATCCACGATATTCTCACTGCCTCCACACACACCATTGAATTGAACAGATTAAACCTCAGCTCCCAGGTGTAATTACTAGTTGGCTGCAGGGACGGCACATGTGGAGGCAGGGAGACCATCAGGGGATAATGAGCGGCTACCTTTTACGTGGGGTTGGTCATATTTAATCCGCAGATCAAAAAGTCTGTGGCTCATCTGTTCTGAATAAGCTGTAAGTTATTACAGGGTGCATTCCCAGAGATTTAGATCGATCCAGAGATTTAGATTTAGATCAACCTAACTCCCTGGGGGTTCATGCTAAATTGCAGTCAGCCGAGCGCGCACCATAGTTAATTACCCCCTTACAGCTTTTAGTAGGCGGGACAGACGCTTAAGCCGGCTAAGCTGACAGTAATCTAGTGAGACTCCCCACAGGGATAGATCGATCTAAAATCTATGAGAATGGGGTCGTAAACTGTAAGTTCAGAAGAGACAACTCACAGCCTTATTGCAGATAATTTTTGATAGAAATGTTTTGCAACTAATTAAAATTAATATTCAAACGTGCCTTTATACCTTTGCTGAATTCATATTTGCAATAAGGTGGTAAACTGTAAGTTTGTATGCCATGTTATTTTAGATTTTCTAATACAACAGCTTTTATATTATTAGTCAGTAGGTAATGAGAAGTTTATGGGGAATTCAGATAGAAACATTGAAAATTATGCACTGTACTAGGTATGTTATACATAAAGTATGATAAAACTGAATTACCACGACAATACAACTTAATAATAAGTTGTAATTGACTGTGGGGAATTCAGTGAGAATTTAGCAAAAGAAGCTGTAATTTACAGTGTAAAATTTTTTGAATAACTTGTCATTTCAGCAAAGCCTAAACAACAACATATAAAAAGGAGCCTTTTACTTTTCCTTCAGTGACAGCATTTCCAACATCTTACCGTTAAGTCTTACTTTATTTCCTTCAGTGACAGTCCCTAGACGAGTATTATATGCAGTACAGATAAACATGTATTGTCACTGTAGGCCTTAAACCTCTTTTCACACACCAATCCAAGTATTTTTCTCAGCCTAAATCCAACCCCACCCTGGATCAACATCCACACGTCAACACTTTCTAGGTTAACAAACCTTGTAAAATGCCTGTGTCTCATTCAGTCTGTTTAATGTGTCCAGGATATCCCCATTGCAGATAGTGCCATTTCCAACAAAGTCATCTTTACAAGTACACTGCACATGTCCAGTTGTCAAGGCTCCATCTAAAATAAGACCATCAACTCATAATTATTACAGTGGGTATGTTTAGGGTACATTAATTAGTATGGGGCTTTGTATCAACCTAATTAAGTTTTGAAGGATAAACATAATTTCAAGTCTGGACTGATCCATCATCATAAAATTTTATAAACATATCTATAACATCTGTATTTTGTACAAGCTGGTCCATTAGATTTAATTTTAAAGAAGTTGTAATTTGAAATAGTGTCAGGAATATTCTCTCAATTGTAGATAGTTTTTCACCTATACTCAATGCCACTGAACAAGAAGCCCCAGCTGGGCAACCCCCATTCTGTTGTAAGCATTTATCTTCCACACAGTAGGTTACTCCATCTCCAGTCAGATTTGTTGGGCATTTACACCTGTAGCTTTGTTTCTGTATTCAAAGAACATGTTGGTTATTACAATTTTTAAATTGCAATTAAAATCATACCATGTACTGGTAACAGCCATGAACTATATACTTAATATAAAGAATAAAAGAAAAAAACTTGTAAAATAATAAAAATTAATTGTATCCTTATACCTTTATTGCTAAAAACTTCATTGTGTTGGCATTTTATTTAACCAATAAAATTCCAAAATAACTTTTCAAACTACATAACTTATTTTTCTTACAATTCACTAAAATCTATAAGCACTTTACATTTAGCATTAATGGCTTAAATGAAATTCAGTTAAGTTAATTTAAATATTTGTCACTGACCTGCTGATCAAAACTACATTTTGCTTCAGGTAGGCAAGTGTGATTGTTGATTTCACATGGCGAGTAACAGTTGTAGCCACTTCCATAGTAACCAGGTAAACAAACACATGACACGAAGTCATTTGTTATGCTGCACTTGGCATATTTATGACAACCACCATTAAACACCACACAAGGAGACATACACTTATATCCATCTCCATGGTACCCAGGATAGCAAGTGCATTTGACTCCATCTGGTGTTGCCTGGCAACTTGCATCTGCATGGCAACCACCATTCTTAATATCGCATACTGACTTACAGTTATAGCCATCTCCAATGTAATTACTAATGCAACTGCAGTTAACAGAGCTATTGCTGTAACTGCATGTAGCCATAAAATGACATCCTCCATTAAGTATCTCACAGGGGGTGTTGCATGTATATCCATCACCATGGTAACCAGGTAAACAAGAGCAAGTTACGCTTCCACTTTTATCCATGCACTCAGCATTGGAATGGCAGCCACCATTGTTATAAGTGCAAAGGTCAAAACAGGTTTTTGTAACTGGGCAAGCACACACGACGTGTCCGTCCTGAACTACACAATCTGCATCACCATGGCAACCTCCATTGTCAATTTCACAAGGGTTATGGCAAAAGTGATAGCCATCACCAAGGAAACCAGGTAAACATGAGCACTTGACTCTGTTGTCAGGTCCTGTGAATGCATAAATCTTTTAGTATAGTCATTTATCTTTTATGAAACCAATGAAGTACTCTAGGAGGATACAATTTAAACAACATCAAGATTAAACCCAGTAAAGCCTACTTAATTAAGAAGTACTCACAGTAACAAAAATTAAGTAACACTTCATGTACTCTCTGGTTCCTGGTGCCTTTTTTAAGCAATAGCATAAACAAGAAGGAAGGGAAAGCTGCTATGAAGCACATGCAACAATTTATGTTACTACTGCCTATTATCTCCACTATTATCTCATATGCCAAATCCAAAGCACAAACGGCAGTGCTAAGATGATACACACTGGTGGGAGGAGCTTTTCCAAAACCAATGTCTTACTTCCAATTTTATACAAGTCCCTCAAATCAAGCATATTTGTATCCCCCATTCTTGCAGTGGATTTTCTATGCCCACCAGTGGATATTCATGGTAATCGAGCCAATACTGAAAGCCTACATACCCTCTGAATGACAAGTGGCATTCTCATGGCAATTCTGATTTTCAAAATGGCATGCAGAAACGCAGTCATCACCAAGTGGTAGATACCCTGACATGCAAGTACATGTGACTTCTCCGTTTTCATGGTTACATGTAGCATTACTATGACAACCTCCATTGGCAACATCACAGGGACTTAGGCAAAAATGGATGCCGTCTCCATGGAAACCAGGCAAGCAGATGCATGTGATTTCATTACCAGGACCTAAGAAAATGTTATCATTAAGCTGAGAAGAAAAATTGCAATTTTTTTATCATGCATAGTATCCATAAACAATTAATTAATTAAGTAAGTAAATGCTATTATGCTGAATCTCATTCTTAAAATATTATGAGTTTTAACAGCTAAATTAGTTTGAATTGTGAAAGCATGTGAACTGACTCCATTCTGTTAGCTTACAGGTTATACCCTAATATTCCTATATCAACATGCAATTAAGCCTAGATTGAATCTTTAGTACACTCCACATGCATTGCTGTCTGTTTCAAAAAAGATATATAGCAACAGGCTCTACAAAACAATAACTATTTGTTCTCATGTTTTTGCATCACACTTTATGGATAATCTGTATATCAACCTGAGTATAAATAACTAAAAATGTTTGTGACTTGATAGCTGCCATGAACCATCTCTAAATTTCAAATAAATTTATCCAATCCTAGAATCACAAAGTCAGCCGTACCTTTCAAACTGCAAGTTGCATTCTCATGGCAGCCGCCATTTTGGATTTGACAACGATGTTGACACTTGGATCCGTTTCCATAGAAGCCAGGCATACAAGTGCATGTTAGTTTGCCACCTTCATCTAAACAGGTGGCGTTAGCATGACAACCACCATTTTCTATCAAACATTTGTTTATGTCTGAAATTGATATTATTAATAATACATTTGTCTGAAGAAAATAGCTAAAAGTGTATATCAAACTTGAATGCCGAAATAATGTACAGCATTAAAACAATTAAGTTATAATAGAATCAATCTTTATTTAGACACAACTTTTTCTATTTGAAAAAAAAATAAATTTAGTAAATTTTCTAATTGGTCTTCTCTCTTTTCAGTAAATATTGCATGATTAATCATTATCTTTCAAGCCAATAAAACAAATAGTATACTTATGCAAAAATATATCCCTTTTCCAACAACAATCTCATTCAGCAAGTCTACCTTTACTACAAAGATCTCCAGTTTTTCCCATCACACAATGATCACATGATTTTCCAGTAAAATTTTCATCACATGTGCAATGTCCAGTGCCATTTCTGCCATCAAAACAGGTGCCATGTCCAGAGCATGGCTCCCTGGCTCCCCCTGGACACTCTGAAACAACATTGTGTTAGGTGTGAAACTAGAGTGTGTTTGATGCAATCACAACCAAATGCATCCAATGATAGTATTTCTTCCAGACCAAAAGAAACATTGGTTTGGGGTATGAATTACTTTTTTTTCAAGGTTATTTTCCAGTTTTCATACAGCTTACAGTGTCATGAATAAATCCGTAGTTCGTAATCTATATATTTCTTTTACTCAGTAAACTCATTTAAACGATGCAAATTTAAGTCATATTTAAAGAATATACCGCATCCTTTTTATAGTACCTTCACAAAGCCTGCCATAATAACCAGGGGCACAATTGCTACATGTTGGTCCACTGAACTGAATCATACACCCACCATGTCCATCGTCAACACTTGTATTCACTCCTTGTCCACTTCCAGTGTTTGTATCCACACTTTGGTTACCTTGGGTATCGTTATTATTTGACTCTCTACAGTTTGGGTGGTCAATAGGGTCAGCTGGACAGGCTGTTTAAAGAAGCGTAACCTATTCATGATGGTCGCATTTTGTCTACTTAATCTGTCCATGGAAGTATATCTTGACCTAGTCTACGATATATTTCCATGATCTGTCACAATAAATAGTACACAATATGTCAAATTTAAAACACATTTGTCATATGAACAACTAGAACCATTAAAAAAAGTTATCAATGCTCCCAATTAAGGTACTGGCCCTGCTTTGTCGGGTATTAAAACTGGCCTGTGATATGGTGCTATGAAATGTGATTATGTTTGAATGTTGATATCTTAGACAAAAATGTCTTTTGGTTATCATATTTAAAACTCACATGGTTCAATACATCTATCTTTACCAAGCAAATAATTCAAAAAATACTCACGATCACAAAGTAAACCATAATATCCTTTGCAACAGGCTGGAACCTAAGCACAATAAAAATTAATTTTAGGTTTGAGTGCATGAGTTTGTTTATCTATGCTATTAGCATGTTATCAAATGTACTGTAAAGGATTTTTTTTTAAACTTTGATCTAGGTATAAGAAACTTTTGTTTTGCACTAAAAAAGGTCCCCTTTTTCAGAAACAGTCCACCCCCTTTGAAATTGATCTTACTGTTCTATCTTGCCACCCCGTATCTCACTATGGCATTCTTGAACTTACCTGTACCTTGGCACCCTCTGCAGGACATCTGTGAACATCAGGCCATATCATACCACCTATCCCATGAACCACGCCACCATATGTCATTAGATCTGGCTCAATGACAGGGACCCCATTCACAAATATCTGTGAAGATTATTTTGACGGTTATGAAAATGTTTCATTCTGCATGTGGCTGGTTATCAATATGTCTGTCTTTTAGAATAACAATTATATATAATCATCAATCAATTATACCTGAGAAAAAACAGACGGAAAAACATGGACAAAAATAAGTAGATAAGATGCATGTAAATGTACACAAAGAAAGGCAACAGCATTGTTTTCATGTTTTGTGTAAAAAGCCATTGGTAATATGATTTTCATTTTTTTTAAATTTGTTCATCCATAAAAAAATCTATTAGACATGCCTGGTACCTGTTGAATTGAATCCTATATAGAAAATCAATTTTCAAATAAGTTTAAGGTATTTTTTCACCTGGTCAAATATACTTGTTCACTGGAAGACGTTTGGGCCTTAACTTCCTAATACACCTTAGCAGTGTTATATTTCCATACTTACCTGAGAGGACTGGAGAGAGATATTTATATGGTACTGGTCACCAAGCAGAGTTTCAGCTACCATTCCATCCTGTATGGAGTTAGTAGTAAGCACAGTAGGGACAACATAGAATGACAGCAACCTGGATGTCTATAAATAAACATAGAATGACAGCAACCTGGATGTCTATAAATAAACATACTTACAGCATAATGAAAGCAGTGTATTTAGGGACATATAAATCAAATAATAGGTTTTTATATTTTAATACTGATGGCAACTTTATTTATTTTTTGTGATAACGTCTTTATAGGAATAGTAAATCAATAGGAAAACTGCTACATACAATTATCAGTAGGCTTCAGGAACTCTGGAACTCACTCAACATGATTTCTTATAATAAAATAAGAATGGATATGAATACCCATTAACACAATTTCAGAGACAGGAAGGGTTTAGATGTCTACTGTTATGAGTTATTAATTTGATATCAATCCTTAGATGTAATAGTAATGAAAAATGGTTACTATTTTTGAGAGGATGCATTATATAGATTCTTGCTTCTGTGAACCAATTTACATTTTTTATTTATCATAACCATCTTACCATCTTGTGTCCAAATCTATTCAGCACTGTATTGGTAGGAACAAACACTGTGTAACTATCCAAGGAACTTATGTTACTCAACAGCTTAGATATCTGGGAGAGAATTTTAAATTATACCTTTTATTTGGTTTCTACTTGATACAAAGCATTATTAACATGTGAAAATGAATGACAAACTTAAAAAAAACATAAATTGTTTTATACTGGCACATTAATACAGGTCCTAAAAGATGCTACTACTACTGCTACTACTACTACTACCAATAATAATAATTATAATTAAATCAAAAACAAAATTAAGGTAATTTCAACTTAATCATTACATCATTGTGACAGAATATATTTAGGTAGTTTAAATATCATTAAAAATATATATCAAACTGTAAAATTACCATTAAGTAACTCTGGAATATGGAATACTTTGATCTGTCTTCTAATAGATTTAGCAGGTAAGGTTGTGTTGGCTGAGGCACTGGATATGGCTCCAATACCTTATCAAGTCAAAAGGAACATTCAAGGCAGAAAACAGAACGAAAGAAAAAATAATTATTTGCAGATACCATGATTCTACCCAGCCCCCACCCTGTGTAAGACAACAGAAACATCATTTTTATTCCACTTCAACTGGAAATTAAATCTGTTGAAATTCTTGACCATAATCTCTATAATAGTCCCATTAAGCCAAGACTGAAAATCTTAAGGCAATATCATCTTTATACTAGGTATACCTTATCAATTATGTGGATTACACCATTCAGTGCAGGGATGTTGGCTTTGATCACTTTGGCATCATTGACATACAGATCCTATAATTAGCAATTAAATAAAACATTTTAGCAGAAAATCAGGTGGTATGCAATATATATTTTTTAATGTAATTGCATTCAATTTGACTAATTGATTTTTGTGAAAAAAGGCTGGAAAGTGACTTAACATAACTGATTAAAAAGCAATATTTACACAAAAAACTGAGGCCATTCAGAATGAGAAGAGCCAAGTGCTAGCTAGGCCCACAACCTAAACGACTAGTTGAACTGAGCCGAGATTTAATTACTGTGCTCCTGCAGGTCATGGCCTAGCTAACCATCAGCTCTTATCATTCTGAATGGCCTTTATAATATTTATACAGTGACAGAAGTTCAGCATAAATGACAAACTGTCTCCTGTCAGTTTAGAACTTGGTTCAGTGGCCCTGTCCCCATGAGTATTATCTAATAAGTGGATGTGATACTTGGCCAACAGATAAAAGTAGTCATCAATGCAAGACAATCAGTGAAAACTCAAATTTTATCAAAATACTAAAAAAAAAAGGCAGGGGGAAGATTTAAACATTCTCCAGAGCATTCAGGAAGACAGACAGAATCTTCTTATCATTAAGCTCACTCTAATTGGGTAATAAGGATGTTCCTACTTTCCGACTGATCTTGGAACACTTTCAGTCTGGAGAACTGTTTCAACTTTTCCCCTTGTGAATTAAGCAAACCTCTTTTGGTAATTCCACCTACCTTTCCCACGTGTGTGATATTCAGCCACATATTATCAGCCAAAGTCTGGAAATAGTCCAGGAGAAAGGTCATCATCTTCAGCTTGAGAAAAGAATGGTTTCCTGGCACCGTGTGATACCTGTACATTATCAGAAAGAAACATCAGTCATTTCCTCTCCAGATATCTACACCAGCGGTCAAGGTCACTTCTTTGGTTTCAGGCTTTGATAACTCATGTTAATTTTTTTTTTTTTTTTAACGTTCTGATTATACTATTTTTCAAATTTGGCCTGCATTTAAACCACAATGAAGCTCTTAAAATTCACTGACAACAATAGATTGTTATTTGTTCATGGTGGGATATACACAAGGCAGCAAAGCTGTCAAATGTGCATAGCAATAGCACCTAATTTGCAACTCCACACTTTGAAATAGGTGCACAATAAATTTACATATAATAATAATCATCATGTATTTTTTATTTTTTTGCCTACTCATTAAAAATTATTAATATTCAATATTCAAATTTGTTAAATTTTATTGTGAACCTAACTTCCATATCCAGTTTCATGAGAATTTCATTAAACAGTGGGACATATAAGAAATGCACCTTTATTGGCCAAATTTTGAATATTATTTCTGTGTTTGTTCTTATTGCTAATATTCATCAGAGTAGTTGACAGCTATGAAATTAGATCAAAGAGACATATATGAGTCAAATAAGCTGTTATTCAAAAGTTACCTATATTGTAGTATTATGAATCAGTCCAGTAAGTTATAGGGAAATAATATTAACCAATTTTAGTGCTATGTGTCACTCTTGACTAGTACGTTTAAGGATAAATAGTCGCACAGTTTTCCATTTAATGTATTTACAGGGCTTACATGCAATATAATTTTTTCTGAAAAACACAGGATAATTTTTGTAAATGGTCCAATAAAACTGAGCTCGGCCTGTATTTTAGTGCTTAAAAAAACTCCTTTGAGGATAATGAGTCACATGATCATTCTTTTACTGCATTGACAGTGAAAAGTACACAGTGATGACGTGGACTATGATGGATGCAGGTGAAGGCTTTATTAACAGACACACTGTGTCTGCACATAATTAAAGATTACAGGCAAAGATATGAAAAGGCAAATGGGAAATTAAATAACACATAATTAAATATTACAGGCAAATGTCAAGATATGAAAAGGCAAAGGGGAAAACAAATAACAGACTAATTACCCTATGAGAGATATCACATTTGTTGGATGCTGCCAGTAAGAAAAGCTGGCAAGCTTTCTGAATGCACTCACAGCAGGATCAACTGGGGCAAAGAATGTGTAGTTCTGAGTAAGATCATTCAGGATGTTATCTTCCTCTTCAAGGACCTGCAGAGACAATAATGCACTAGGCAGATTCAGGGGAAAACATGAAAAATGCAATCCTCCCCCAAAAAAACCCAATTTACTTTGATGGCTTATTAATTTACATATAATTTTTTTTTTTTTTACTAATATTAAATCTCACTTTGTATATAACATTAGTTTTTTTTTATAAAACATTGTACAATGTTTTTTAATAAAACTTTCTACTAACAAAGAACCACCAATGCATATTGTTAATTTAATGTAGGCCCTTGGACAGGGAGGGTTTGGTGGTTAGAAAGAACTTCTCATTTGGCCAGAAAAAGTGTTCTTATTCAAAATTTGATCTAGGTTCTGTGCAATTTCTCAAGTTGGGTCAACTTAAGGGGTGAAAAGGTCCATCATTAAAAAAAAACTCCCTTCTTTAAAATGCCAACAGGCCTTTTATAATCGATTATCATAGCTCTTTTCACATCCAAACACAATCAAACATTCCAATGCATGACAAATCTCTACAAACACATTTCAATTTTCACGTAATTACAATGATACTGAACATAAGAATAACATGATTGCAATTCATAAGCAAACAATAAAGCATGACTAAAGGACCTGATACCTTTTGTATGACCCAACTTCTGCCATAATTTTGTGCTTCATGTTTTCTAATGATGCACATTATTAACACTCAAAACATCAAGTGTTCAAAGGAGACAGCAAAATTCAAAGTCAATACAAAGTCAAAACCAGCATGTACCTCCAGGATCTCAGTTAACTGTGTTAGGTTTTGTTGCACTGCCAATTCTGCATTAATGGAACCAAGACATGTCAGCCCATCACCACTGTATCCCATGGCACAGGTACAGTTCCTAGTCCCTATCCCAGTGGAGATACACATTGCCTGGAAAGAGTAAGTGAGTGGTATATCTGTTCATAAGTTAACTCACTTATTTCATACAAATGAAATTTAATCAAATTATTTTCTCCATATCAAAATGTCTTCATAAGTTAACTCTGGTTATTTCATCCAATTGTCTAATGAGAGTTAAAAATGCCTGATTTTCTCCACGTCACCCAGAAATATAGATAAATAAATAGGCCTTAGTAAAAAATAAACATTTCATGCTGATGGATTATAGATTTGCAGTCAACACACACACACAATCATAAAAATTGGGGAGAATAAGGTGACGTCATCGCAAAACTTTTTTTGCAAAATTGTAGAGTCAAACTGGCACGGCAAGGGCAGCAGATTAAAAAAAACCTATAAATTTTAAGTCACATGTTAACAAGTCTAGCCATCCATGGACGTCATTCCAGTCAATGACCAGTGTTTGGTCAATAAGATTATTTCCTGTTAAATAGGTATGGATTTGGAGATAGACACTCTCTTGTGTTAATGAACATAAATTTAATTTGTTAGTCTAAATTAAGATTAAAATTGTTTTGACTCTTGGCATGGCATAGAGTTTTAAGACACAGTACTCTTTGAAATTATTGTTTACTCTTTTTTTGCATGGCAATGTGATTTAAGAACTATATTGTCTATTTATTATCATCCTTCTAAAATTACATAGTCAAGACATGGCTCATCTAATAAATATTTTGCTCCTCTCTTTCCCTCCATCCCTTTATTAAGAAAAGTGTCAAACAGATCTGTCAGTCTCTTCATTGAAAAAAGTGATGTATAAGGCAAGAGCTATTTTCCTGATTCCCTTTGTGGCCACACAATGGCTGTACTTCACACTCTATGTTTTAAGTCATCTGCTGGAGTGAGTGACCGAGGCTTGACAGATAGCATAGAGGATCAAAAAGACTGTACTGGTGTGACCCATTCACCTGGCTTAAGAAATATTTCTGTGTCATCCAACTGGATAAACAGCTTCCTGTTTAAACACTGAGCTAAAAGTCACTTTGGGCTAAGTACTAATTATTGCATGGTATCATAACTGCATGGTATCATCTCCAGGCTGGTGACTATAATAACACTTATATAAGAGTAAGAAGAAACACTGAGATCAGTCCCAAAATGTTCACCTGCAGCAAGGCAATTTTTTAGCACTGCAGTAATTTTAGTAGTTAAAGAAGCGTTTGAGAAAAAACCTTTTAGGTGCTTGATTCATCCTTGATTAAAAATGCGATCTAGTTGCTTAGTAAATTTTATTAAATATAATATACCCCATAAACAAATTAATGAATAAAAACGATAGATAAAAATGTTTAGGTTAAGTATTGCAGATTAAAGCAGAGGAACACCTGCTTTCTGAACTCTCAAAGGTTATAATTAATCCTTTTTCCTCAGATCCCTCATATATTGTATTGATATGCTGTGTGTACTGCCTGACTTCAAAGCTATTTTAAGAACTCAAGCAGCCAAGTCAGACTTGCTATTACTGGTACAAAAAAATGAAATATATCCTGGCTGAAGGCCACTTGGTGAAGTATGTACTCTTCCTGACATACAGGACATCATAGTATCACACCACTGACCATATGTGAGACCAGATGAAGGATGGAAATAAATTGTAAGTATAATAGAAATCACTCTGATACTGTCCATGCAAACGATGGGCAACCACTCTCTAGCATATGATAATATTCTGAGAGTTATGACTGGTAAAACATGGTATATTGGTGTAAGTTGGTCACTTATTATTGGTGCCCCGCATGTGTTAAGCAATTGTCCAGGTGGAGAACCATTCATGAGGGACGTTGACACTTGTGTCCCTACATAGCTTTTGCACTAATAGTATGGACCAAGTTTGCACTTTTATGTATGTATGTATGGATGACAAAATTTCATAAATTCAAGTCAATAATGTCATATATCAGCGGACAAAAGGACAAAATTGAATATACCTTTATTTTTTATTTATATATTTAATCATTTATTTATTATTTGAGACTTAAATTTTAAAACCTCCCAGCATAAGGGAAATATGCAGTGCTCAGCACTTTTAGTAGGGGAACACTTTTTTTGTATATTTTCACTGTACTACTCAGGCCCATTGGCCAAGAAATTCTGCAATGAATCTTAATCTGATCTAGGTTCTAGAATAGGTATTGTATTAAAAAAGGGCCACTATTTCAGAATAAGAACTTCCTTTTCAAATTGATGGCTACAGCTCATAATATTGCTACTCGGTACCTTTTATACATATGCAAGTTTGACTTTTACTAAAAGGTGTGTCATCTAAAGGTTCAAGTCAATTATTGCAAGTGCAATGGCAAGGAAATATGATCTGAATATCATAATTATAATACTGACTTCACTAAAATGGGTGATACATATGTACAAAATTTCAAATAAATGATAATTTTCTCTTTGCACTTGAAATGTGCATGGTAGCTATTCGTCTGTTTTAAATAAATAGTAATCCACAGTAAGAACATCAGCTTAATAAACTATCTGCAAAGTCTGTTAAGGTTCATCCCCAGGATTTATCATTATCAATTACTGAAAAGCCTCAACATTCAGGAATGGGAGACAGAGAGCCTTGTCCCTCGACTTATCTGGTTTACTCAAAACAGACATACGTGTCTGCACGTAATCCTCTCATATTTCATAACATAAACTCACACAAACCACCATCTAGAAAGGCACTGTTCACACCCTCATTGGACTTTTATTGATCTGTGTTTTTAAAGGCTAATTTTGCTGCCAGGACATTGCAACTTACCATAATTCACATGATAGCCCAGCACCCCACCCGACTATGAGCTATTTTTTCAAGAATTAAAAAACATGCTAAATGAGCCCACTGCATGTTTGACTATTTATGTGCATATGTAGGTACCTGTAAAAAGATCCAGGACTTAACATGATGTGATTAGGGTTGTCCACTTTTGTCCACTTTTGTTGTTTTAAAATCAGTTTGCTGTATTTTTCAAGCTGTTAATTATTAGTGAGAGATCAGAAAATGATACGCCAGTCAAACACAGACTAATTACCTCTATATAATAGTTTATTTAACTTAAATAATTCAATCCTTTTAGCTATAAAAATGAATAATTAAAGTTAACTTCTGGAAGTTTACATTTCAATGAGGAACAGGAGTATAATCCAGTCCCTTGGCTCAGAATTGAAATATCCCAGGATGCAGTTGGCCATGATGATGATTTGATGCCAGGTAAATTAGACTCTATTGTAAACATCTTTTGCAGTGCAGTTCAGAAGTGAAAACTGTGTTATCACATTTAAAGCTTTCTTGATATTGTACAAATATCCAAGAGTAGCTAAACATGGCCAAATCAAAATTAACATCTATCATACTCAGGGGCGGATCCAGAGATATTTTCTGACAGTCTTCCAAATTATGTTTGTTGGTCCATCCTCATTTTTGACTGTCTTCCAACAGAAAAAGTTAGATACCCGTCAATGTAAACTTGAAAATCTGACCGTCTTCTGGAAGACCCAGAAGACAGTCTAAATCCGCCCCTGATACTAGGCATTGATCAAATTTCAAAATATTGTTGTCTTAGAATTAGATTTTGCAGCAGTCAAGTTGCCTACTTGTTAATGTCGGAATCCGTAATCTGGGTGATTGGCACTTGCACATTTCTAATACATATAGCCGACCCTCCCCCCCATGGTGTGGGGTTCGTGGCCCGCTAATTTCAAGAGGGGTCCATTGGTGTGATTTTTTTTCAGAACTTGAAGGACCCCGACCCCCGACCCCCATAAATCCCCCACTGCATATACTGTACTACCAGTACAATAACCAAGGCAAGCCTCAATGGCCGCATTCAGAACAGATGATCCACACAGTAACAGTAACCAAGCACCCAATCAATGTTAGTTGTAAAAGGAGGGCTTTCTATAGCCTTTTTTTTTGTGTGTGTGTCAACTCATCAAAGTACCAATTGGCAAGGAGAGAGCCATAGGTAAGATGTTTTGGCTTAGGTGTCAGTTTAAGAAGAGCAATTAAGACAGTTAGTCAGCTTATCCCACAGCCAGTGCTTTGAACAATAGGATAATTGCACTTGTTTTTCGCTTACATGCACTTTTATACTTTTATACCCTTCTGTGCATTCATCCTATATTTTGAAGTACCAGCCGAGGGATACTTAGTCAGTTACAACTCCTCGTCGTCCACTTTTTGCAACTTGCATAAGCAAATAATATGCCACGATATAATTACGCATTTGTATGTCGCATACAGTGGATGACTTGTATGGCAACTGGTACTTATATAACTATAATAAGGTAAGGGATTGGTCAGGTGTGAAAGCTGTGTTGTTTACCACACTTCCCCACATACAATTTCACAAGAAACTGATCAATGGGCCAAGAGAAAGCATGATATCTGGACAATTTTAAATGAGACTACGTACTTCCCCATTTTTTCTGGAAATTATCGGGCATTTGGAATTTGAAAAAGAATCCTTTTGCTCCATGTTTCTTCATACTCAGTACAACCGTAGGCCTACACTCGACACTCCGACATGATGGGTCAGATCAACATCATATGCCGCTGAGGTACACTGCATTCTGGGATTGATTGAGGCAGCTCACATGGCAGGAGGAGTTCTGGTAATTCTTATATATCAAATATATATATTTAAATAAAAAGTAAACAATTGTATTACTACATGCTGTGAGTTCTCCATGAAATATCACAAAACTGTGTGGTTGATGTGTTGTTGAACAATATTAGGAACAGCTAGTGCAGGAGACATATTATGATGGGAAAATACATATAGGAATTAGTTTGCCCTGCAAAGGATTTTCTAAACTTAAATGATTCACCTGTATTAAATGAAGTCACAATGAGAAAAATTTTCTAAAAAACTCAAATTTCTCATGTCTTACAAAAAAAAATCATTCTTTATCAATGTGTTGCCCAGATGTAGATCTCTAGCTGATCTGGTTTTGCTCTTAGGCTAACAAAAAAGTCATGCTGAATGGTATTCATGCACCAAGAAATAAGGTGATCGACTGTTGATCTACCAGTGGCTTAATATCTATATTGCATGACACTGACAGAACAGACGTGAGCAGAAGAGCAGTTCATTTTCTCTTTCTGGGCAGCCTGTGACTGATACTCCATGGGACATTATAACCTTTACTTTTCTTTCACTGCTCATGCTTTGCATTCAACATTCCATTCAATTTTTTTATGAGAGAGACGATCAACTACATGCCTGATATGATTTCACATCTGCTAGTCCTGTCTATTATTGCTCTTTCAAGTGGTGAAGGTAATGGAACTATCATCATTTGCATTTATCTCTCTGTCTCCTGTTTTTCAGAGTAAAAGTAATCACAAAAATCAGGATAAGCCAAAAAAAATATGAGATTTTAAAAAGTAAATGCAATATTGAATGAAAACTGATACATTAGATACCTCTGGGATTCATCATATCTGCAAATTTTGCTTGTTCATAGAAGCATACACCTCGGAATTTGCCATTTCTAATCTGTATCTTATTTTAATGATTATTTTCTCCACTAAACCCATGTGTTTAAGTAATAAAGGCTTATCTGCCCCTTTTCATGGAAAAAAGTCATTAGTTGCTTAACTGCAGTCCATATTGTGTAGTGGTCTTGAAACAGAGTGCAGTTTAAATTGAAATTAAGTTTTCATGTTAAATGTGAAATTCATCCCTTCATCATTAGCATCCTTACATTAAGTAAAATTCATTTGTTCAGAAAGATTTCCAGGGTAGAGAATTACTTTTCACATGTCAAAAAATGCCCATGCTTGTTTCATATTTGCATTTCAAAATAAACTATTACTTTTAGTGTAAAAGCAAAAGTTTTAAAATTCCTAGCATTTTCACGCAGTTCCAGAGCAAATATCACACAGGCTTCCCAAAACTTATGCACAGTACCTTTTCTGAACATCCACCATTGTGAACTGCACAAGAATTGGTTGCTATGCAATATGTGCCATTTCCTTGGAAGCCAGGATTGCAAAGGCACTCAAACTAGAAAAGAGAAAGATAATATTTTTCATTTGATTTATTTAACTTTATTTCTGATTAAAATTGCAAATCTTACCAAAAACATGAAAAGTGTAAATCACAGAATATTTTTTGTGTTTCTTTCATTAGTCCACACTTATAGCTGCCTGGGTATATAAACCACACACCTAGTTGACAGACACTGTGTTAGCTGTGTCACTGAAAAAGTATCAGATATGATGGGAATGTGTAAGTTGCACCAATAAGTGTGATTAAAATATGTTAGATGTGCCACAGTCCGAATGTATTAATTGTGTCAATAAGAGTATATATATATATATTTCTATATATAGATAAAATGCTTTGATACCAACCTGCCCTGCCATTAAAGCATAGCAAACTGCAGATCAAGTTTTGAAAAATTCATAAGTAAGTCCATTTAAAAGTCAATCAATTATTCATAAGGTGCAGCACATATTACAGCATCCATGACTTTGTAATAATTCTATAATAATATATATGACATTTACAAATAGTTAGATTTCTCAGATGAGCAACATGTAATTACACTACTGGGAATCAAATATTAAATAATAGGATATCTTTGATGGACCCTTGATAATAATACCTGTCCTGGTATGAGCAGCACACAGCGAGCATCTGGGTGACAGTCATTGTGTACTGTACACACTGCAATAGGGGAGCAGGACTTCCCATCACCATGCCAACCAGGGTCACAAACACAAACACTTTTACCTGGACCTGTTTGTATGCACTTGGCCTGAAAATGTATTGGGATTTGTTTGTCTTAAGATTTTCTTCCATATCAAATACTTTTTGGTAAATTTCTATTATGAAGTTGCCTTAAGATTTTATTAATTAACTATATTCATTGTAAAAAGCAATATGATTCCCTTGTCCTATCAGTGTCCTATAGCAAAATTAACCCTACATCCAGCTTTGCATTTAAATTTGATTTCACATATGTAATTTATCTATGGATAAATACATTTCTCTCTCTCTCTCTCTCTCTCTCTCTCTCTCTCTCTCTCTCACACACACACACACACACACACACACACACAC